AAGTCTACGTACGCTGTTTCTGCGCTAAAATGCCAGGATTCTCACCGCTGGAAGCCTTACGGACCCGAGAGTGGAATTTATGTCTATCAGTGACATTCCACAGTCGCGCGCCGGATCCCTGCATTCCTTCCCTCTGACTATGGAATTTATGTCTATCGCCGACGTTCCGTAAGGAGTCTACGTACGCTGTTTCTGCGGTAAAATGCCAGGATTCTCACAACTTGAAGCCTTACGGACCCGAGAGTGGATTCTATGTCTATCAGTGACATTCCACTGTCGCGCGCCGGATCCCTGCATTCCTTCCCTCTGACTGTGGAATTTATGTCTATCGCCGACGTTCCGTAAGAAGTCTACGTACGCTGTTTCTGTGGTAAAATGCCAGGATTCTCACAACTTGAAGCTTTACGGACCCGAGAGTGGATTTTATGTCTCTCAGTGAAATTCCACTGTCGCGCGCCGGATCCCTGCATTCCTTCCCTCTGACTGTGGAATTTATGTCTATCGCCGACGTTCCGTAAGAAGTCTACGTACGCTGTTTCTGCGGTAAAATGCCAGGATTCTCACCGCTTGAAGCCTTACGGACCCGAGAGTGGAATTTATGTCTATCAAGGACATTCCACAGTCCGGCGACGGATCCCTGCATTCCTTCCCTCTGACTGTGGAATTTATGTCTATCGCCGACGTTCGGTAAGGAGTCTACGTACGCTGTTTCTGCGCTAAAGTGCCAGGATTCTCACGGCTTGAAGCCTTACGGACCCGAGATTGGAATTTATGTCTATCAGTGACATTCCACAGTCCGGCGCCGGATCCCTGCATTCCTTCCCTCTGACTGTGGAATTTATGTCTATCGCCGACGTTCGGTAAGGAGTCTACGTACGCTGTTTCTGCGCTAAAGTACCAGGATTCTCACCGCTTGAAGCCTTACGGACCCGAGAGTGGAATTTATGTCTATCAGTGACATTCCACAGTCGCGCGCCGGATCCCTGCATTCCTTCCCTCTGACTTTGGAATTTATATCTATCGCCGACGTTCCGTAAGAAGTCTGTGTACGCTGTTTCTGCGCTAAAATGCCAGGATTTTCACCGCTGGAAGCCTTACGGACCCGAGAGTGGAATTTATGTCTATCAGTGACATTCCAAAGTCCGGCGACGGATCCCTGCATTCCTTCCCTCTGACTGTGGAATTTATGTCTATCGCCGACGTTCCGTAAGGAGTCTACGTACGCTGTTTCTGCGGTAAAATGCCAGGATTCTCACTGCTTGTAGCCTTACGGACTCGAGAGTGGAATTTATGTCTATCAGTGACATTCCACAGTCCGGCGCTTGATCCCTGCATTCCTTCCCTCTGACTGTGGAATTTATGTCTATCGCCGACGTTCCGTAAGAAGTCTGTGTACGCTGTTTCTGCGCTAAAATGCCAGGATTCTCACCGCTGGAAGCCTTACGGACTCGAGAGTGGAATTTATGTCTATCAGTGACATTCCACAGTCCGGCGACGGATCCCTGCATTCCTTCCCTCTGACTGTGGAATTTATGTTTATCGCCGACGTTCCGTAAGGAGTCGTCGTACGCTGTTTCTGCGGTAAAATGCCAGGATTCTCACGGCTTGAAGCCTTACGGACCCTAGAGTGGAATTTATGTCTATCAGTGACATTCCACAGTCCGGCGCCGGATCCCTGCATTCCTTCCCTCTGACTGTGGAATTTATGTCTATCGCCGACGTTTTGTAAGGAGTCGTCGTACGCTGTTTCTGCGGTAAAATGCCAGGATTCTCACTGCTTGTAGCCTTACGGACTCGAGAGTGGAAGTTATGTCTATCAGTGACATTCCACAGTCCGGCGCCGGATCCCTGCATTCCTTCCCTCTGACTGTGGAATTTATGTCTATTGCCGACGTTCCGTAAGGAGTCGTCGTACCCTGTTTCTGCGCTAAAATGCCAGGATTCTCGCCGCTTGAAGCCCTACGGACCCGAGGGTGAAATTTATGTCTATCACCGACATTTCACAGTCCGGTGCCGGATCCCTGCATTCCTTCCCTCTGACTGTGGAATTTATGTCTATNNTAGCCTTACGGACTCGAGAGTGGAATTTATGTCTATCAGTGACATTCCACAGTCCGGCGCCGGATCCCTGCATTCCTTCCCTCTGACTGTGGAATTTATGTCTATCGCCGACGCTCCGTAAGGAGATTACGTACGCTGTTTCTGCGCTAAAATGCCAGGATTCTCACCGCTTGAAGCCTTACGGACCCGAGAGTGGAATTTATGTCTATCAGTGACATTCCACAGTCCGGCGCCGGATCCCTGCATTCCTTCCTTCTGACTGTGGAATTTATGTCTATCGCCGACGTTCCGTAAGGAGGCGTCGTACCCTGTTTTTGCGCTAAAATTCCAGGTGTGACATTCCACAGTCCGGCGCCGGCTCCCTGCATTTTTTCCTGACGTCTATGAATAAAAGTATTGCTGAAATTAACTGCACAACTTTTCGAATTGCGAAGTAGGTATGTGAGGAGGGTATGACGCGGAAATGAAGGATAATCATAGCTTTTCATTTGTTTCAAATCCCTGACGTTTATGTTGGCATTCTGCCCGTATCACACGATCAAAGTAGAACTCTCGAATCTCGAAGTGGCCGAAGGGTTTCTTTCATTTTTGCGGGATACCACATTACATACCTAGCTCGGAGTTCGATTGCATTGCTGTGTTGATTCACACATTTAACTATGCTAGCCTAATGCCTTCATTCAAAAACGTCAGTAATTTGATAAAAGTAAAAACCTAAGATTTTCCTTCGTTTCTTCGTGGTGCCGCACATCTAATACCTAGTGCAAACTTCCATTGTTTCGTGCTCGATTTCGTTCATGTGACATTTATGAAGCGACGTAACGTAGGCATTATGCTTGTCGAATGCGGAAATCAAGTGAGGAACTATCGAACTCTGAACTGGGTATTTGATATGGTATCACGTGGAAATGAAGGAAAGTCTTAGCTTTTCACAGCTTAAAACATCAATATTTTCGAACTAAAGGGCTTCGAGCTAGCGAGAAACACGGCACGGTACATATGGGGGGCTTAGACGACAAGGTGGGATAAGTGGTGTTTTTGAAAAAATTGAGGTATTAATGGTGTCGACTATAATACTCGTCTTGGAATATATTCTGTGAAAAATTAACTACTAAAATTCTTAAGCATCTGAAGTGAGTTAAAGTTTTTTCTCCGCCTTAAAGGCTCCGTGTAATTTTTTAACTTTAAATACGCATTTCTTGAAAAAGCAAAGACTGCACTTATGGCACTTGTCCTCCAAGCCCTTCATATGTGGTGGATAACGACAGATTTTCGTCGAGTAATAAATTTATTTATGTCGTCAGACTTACTTGTAAAAAGTTCTTGTCAGGAACTTGGTGTTTTAAAAGATCCAGACATTTTATCGCCTACATATTTCACAGAAAAAAGGAATCACTCAACTTGACTAAAAAAAACAAACAAACAAACAAACAAACTATAATATTAGATCAATGATGCTATTCAAAGATCTTCTGTGAGGGAAAGAATACATTTAAATTTTCCCTCAAGAATAAACTATATCAAACTATTTTACCTGATTTTAAGATCTGCACAAGGATTCAATCTTGAGAACGAGAGAAATGGATGCGTGCGAAGGTCCCATTCTCGGTGAAATAATCGAGCCCGCTTAACTTTTTAGCTTACTTTCAGAAAATTGGAGGTTCATTTCTGGTAGAAAATGCTTTTCTATGAAACTTTAACACAGTCCAACGCAAGTTACGCAAGCGGTCAACGTCGATTCTGGACCAGCGCGTGGTAGCTGTTCTTTGTTATCAAAATTAACATCAAATTAAGTACACTCAGTACATTGAAATGATGGCATTACAATTTTTCAACCACTTAAGGGTAGAGTTTCGATTATCCGCGATAATTGGGATCGGAGACACCGCGGATAATCGAAAATCGCGGATAATCGGAAAGCGCGGATAATCCGAATTTACGCAAGACGGCCGGAAAAAGTCATCGGAAAAACTGTATTTTAAAGGAATCAGTAAAGACACTCACCATGCATTAGAAAAGAATATACTTATTAACTAGAATCAATAAACGTTACCTGTTAAACAAATTGAACTTTATTTCTTGAAGAATTTTTTCCAAAGAGGAGAGGAATGACCCCGAATCCCTCCGTTCGGTCCCCGTCGCTTTCAGAAGAAATAGAAAAAAATAAAAAAAAAAAGTCCGCTCCACAGACCGGGGATAATCCGAATCGCGGATAACCGAGGCGCGGATAATCGAGACTCTACTGTATGGATCTATACGAAAAACAACATTGGTGTCATTCTCAATATGTATGAGATGGATATTCACATGAAATTATTGGGAGATGATTCGGTTGGTTTTTCTTTAAAAAAGCATAACATAATGAGAGATTTTTAATTGTTATGATTGAGGTACTTTTAGGCACTTTTTGACTTAAGTCTGCGGATTGTGAATATGAACAAACTGCGAATAACTTCCTACAAAAATTTTTCTCGCGAATAAAAATGAATATTCAGTCGAAGTCGAGAAATAGGGACCCACCCCTATGTGAACGTTTTATTATCTCTGTTTTGTTATGCTTGCTTAAAAAGAGAAAATAAATTTCCATCTTCCAACGCTTCGAAAATGATATATTTCTGGTACAAATTACTATCGTAAATTTTTAAAAATAAATATATTTAAATTATCAATAACTGGTCATTCGGAACGTGTTACTACCGGCGGCGCGGCGCGGCATTTCAAAACGCCTTCAATATAATGCTTATGCAACTTAACTTACACCACAAGTGGCGCTGCCGTCACGCAGTGGCCGTGCCGAGAACTCCGAGAACTAAAGTGCCGCAACAGTGTCGCCAACTCCCCAAATTCCCAAATTCCCTGTTTTAGGCTTCATCCCGCGGATTTCCCATCCTTGTCTTCTCTTCAATTCTTCATGATCTTGCCGACTGCTTCGTTTACACGTGTAGTGAAAGCCTGACCACTTTTTGTAAGTAATCTCGATGTTTTATCATTTAATTTTGTTCCATACTTCATTTTCGGTTTCGGTTAATCACTTTATATGTTTTAATTTATCCATTTTTCTATTTTAATATTCCTAATTGTGTTGTTTCTACGTCCTAATTGAAACTAGTTTGCCAGGCCGTCAGCGGCTACCATGTGGCGTGAATCGTTCAACATGCTGTATTTTTGTTAATTGAGTGCGTTTGACTGTCTCATCCTCAGCGGAACACCACCTTTTTAACATTCATGTGTATAATTCTTCCCACAATTGACCCTCTTTAATTTTATGAGAAGCGGTTGGTCCAGTCAAGATTCCTAACCTCCAATGGCCACCGACATCCTGTCAATATTTTTGGTCACTCCCTATTTCCTCTTCTAAAATCGGAGCCTTTTCTTTTTTCCACTAGAGATTAGTGATGCCACACTGCAAGTTTTGATCACCACATTACTCCTGAAATGTTGCTGATACACATGGGTTTATGTTAGATGGTGATTGACGAGAAGCAGTCGGACCCCCATTAGGAATGTTTTGTATTGTTTTCCACCTTTACGCCTCTGCAGTAATCACTACTACTGTCTGCTGAGTGCATTCTTACCTTGTATCACCATCCGTTAACCCTGAGTTCATTTATTCTTTGTTTGATTTCTCTGGTGCATTTGTCTTTTTGCCGATAGAACTTCCTTACTTGGTATGCTGATGACATGCGCCCATCTTGTGTTGCGACAAAAGTTTGATCTTGTTCACAGCACCGATCACCAATGACTCTAGCTAATTGCATGTCAGTATTAACTTATTGAATCCAAATCAGGGATGGACTTTGGTCTCTACATTAGATAAGAAAGCATTTTATTAAAAACACTTATCAGGCCAACTGCTTCTCCAGATACTACCTGCCCTCATGTTCAATCTTGATGTTAATTGCCGTTTGTGATTTTCAGGTTGGTAGTCGATGCTTTAAAAACCTTCAAAATGTCAGGCGGGCTAGACGTATTGAGTCTTAAAGAAGATGATGTGACCAAAATGCTGGTTGCCACTGCGCACATCGGCACAACCAATGTTAACTTCCAGTTGGAATCCTATGTCTACAAACGGAGGAAGGATGGTAAGCTATCTGTTTCAATGTTTACTTTCCGTATGAACCTGCTGAACATGCTTACTCATTCCACCCCTCTATCCCTATTTTGTGCATTTGTTTAAATTTGCCACACTCATGGTGGTTACTTTTCTTTCCCTAGTACTCATTGCTGTGATGATAACCTAGAATATGAATCACGCACGAGTTTTGCTGTACTAGCTAGCTCTCTGAAATTTGATTCTTAATTCAAGTCATAGTTACTCTGAGCAGTATTATTAGTCTCTCCAGAGGGGAGTATTGATTAAAGACCACCATCGAAATCTCTCAAATTGTGTGTCATTCAAAACCTTCTGTAATCCTCAACACAATTGAATCACTTAATTTATAAAAGTGCAACCTCTAAATCACCAACGATTCTAAAAGTATGAATTTTAAAAAAAAAGGAGTAACCTACTCTACTATGTATGTTTTAATAAATGACAGAGGTACCTTTAAAAAAACTGAACATAATGAATTCTTACACAAGATCGGAATTTTTTTCATGTTCGCAAACAATTTTCAAGGACTCTATTCTGCAGTAGAATTTTTTTCCTCCTTCGTCAGTTCTTTGAAGGTTAAGAAGTACACCAACCAGCATTTCACCCGCAAGGTTTGTTTTTTCAGGTGTCCACATCATCAACCTGCGCAAAACTTGGGAGAAACTCCTGTTGGCCGCAAGAGCAATTGCTGCTGTAGAAAACCCTGCCGATGTCTACGTCATCTCTTCCCGGCCTTATGGACAGAGAGCAGTTCTTAAATTCGCCACTCACACTGGTGCCACCCCCATCGCTGGGCGATTCACACCTGGTGCTTTCACCAATCAGATTCAAGTAAGTAAATGACTTGTACATTAAGAGAGCAAAACCCCCGTTAGCTACCTTCAAAACTGCTTTTATCATATTAAATGTAGGCTCCAGTAAAACTATTTCCGTAGCCAGTGGCGTAGACAAGGGAGGGGTCCAGGGGGTCTGTACCCCCCCTTAACCTTGTAAATTGTACTTCTTTTTTTTTTACTTTTGGAGGGCAGAAATAAAATATTATCAGGGAGGTACAGAAAATAAAGTTAAATTGCCGTCATGTTTTTGAATGGACCCCCCCTTAGAGCATTTCTAGCTGTGCCACTGATCGTAGCGACAAAATTTTGCCTTAAACAATGTGTAGATACTTGAAGTTTTCTTAGAAATCATTTCCTGCCAAGGTCTGTCACTGTAACAGAGAATATTGGAGGTATGGCCCATTTTTACACGACAACGATTCTTTCAAGTAAAATGCGGAATCATGAAGCAAATGGGATAAGAGATGAATGAGGCTTTTTTTAAAGATATTGGACTCTTTCTGAAAGGAAGGATAATAAAACAATATTCACGATTAGACACAAGTCATTTGTTTCCCAAGATTAATCTTTGCTCTTTTTTTACAGGCTGCTTTCCGAGAGCCGCGTATCTTAGTTGTCACAGACCCAGAATTTGACCACCAACCTGTGACAGAAGGATCATATGTGAATATTCCTGTTATTGCTCTGTGCAGCACTGACTCCCCCACTCGTTACATCGATATCGCTATTCCATGTAATAACAAGGTAAGTTACTGATGAACCTGATTGATTTGAATTACTTTATTTTCTACTTGCACTCAATTTATTACACTTATACACATTGAAGGAGGAATGAAAAAAAAAAAAAACAGTTTCTTGTTTATTTACTTAATGTCTACAATTACCAGAAGAAGGGCACATTAACTGTACTCGACAACTAACAGTCTACTGAGGTACAAATTAATCTTAATTCTGACTGCAGGTGCTTTTTTAAACACAAGTAACCCATTTCTGTATTAAGTACTTAAAAGTATAGTTTCAATATGCTTGGTAGAGCCCATTCTGCTTCTGCGAGCAGTCATCTTTTTTGAAGAATATCACAGATGAGGTAGAAATGAACATTTTAGTGATTCCATAAGTCCTGATAGTATTTTAGTTACGTAAAATTGCATCGAAGCTCAGAAGAAAGGTACACTCCTAAGCTGAATATTAAGGCGGAAGATTAACCACTAGTAAAGTAGATTCTAGCAAGTTCGTGTTACATGTAGTTACTAATATAATTTTTCTTTGATGAAGTAAGGTTTATTTGAAATTTCTTTACCTGCTGTCAATCGGTTAATTCTCATTGAACATTTATTTTCAGACACCCACTTCCATAGGTCTTATGTGGTGGTTATTAGCACGTGAGGTTCTGAGGTTACGAGGTTTAATCACCCGAGAAAGCAAATGGGACGTCGTCGTTGACTTGTTCTTCTACAGAGACCCAGAAGAGGTAAGCATCAAACCTACAAGTTTTACTTTTTTAAACCAGTTGTAATTTGATTTATTGACCTCAACTCTACGGAAGATGTAACAATTAAGAAAGACACACACTTTGCGTCCAAATCACCCTCTTGTCCATATCAAAAATAATCTTAAGAAAAACTTGCTTAATTCGAAACTTCGTTCATTAGAGCACAACTTTAGTACGAATCTGATCCCACTGATTTATCGGAGGTTATGTGCCATTAAAAGCACGAAAGCAGCTCTTCTGCACTTTCATTACTCTTTTTCCCTGTCAGTAGAACTGGAAGAAGAAGTAGAATCTGTGGCATACAAGTTCATCATTATTTCATTGATGGAGGGAGACAGAGAATCTGCTGGTACTTGTATCTTCTTCATGCACTGAAAAAAAGATGGCAGATCCTGTCATACCGTGTAAAAGGATGAACTTTTTATTGTAAAGTCCACTTTAAGGTGGTCATCGATGCATGGTTTTGTTCCTCTCTCTTTGCCTAACACAGTGATGAATACATAGTGCGATATGAACTGGTGCTCCTCTGCTGTATTAGCAGTTTCACCAATAATTTGACTAGTATCTTTGTCATAGTTACTCTGAGTGTTATTGGCAGATGAAGATTTACATTGGTTTGGCATTGGTTGTATGCCAAATAAAATATTTTATTCATCTGATTTCAAGTTTGTACATATCGCATCTTCCTTTTCAAGCCCTGACCCGAACGACGAGCAGTCTTTTGCATCTATTTTTACATCCTTATCAACAAATTGTGAAAGATAAAATGAACCGATTCTTTCAGAAACAACATGAGTATTGAGTTATATGTTTTTGTTTTTTGCGGTGCCTAAATATCACGCTTAATCTGGTCCAACATCATGATGATCCAATCATGTTTCTGAACTGGTGTAAAATTGTCGTACTGGCATTTTCACTGGAAATTTTGATTGTCCTACTTGTCATAGTTACTCTGAATGTTGGCGACAAATATATTTTTCGGGATTTTTTTTATCCATCACGTCTGGGATTTTTTAACATATTTGTGACCAAATCTATGAAGACGAAGAGGGACCGTATTTTCCAGGATAAATCTTTCCTTAACTTTTTACCAACACTTAAAGTACATACATTTCTCTACAATCAAAGAATTTTTGTCTCGGAACTTCAGAACTAAATCTCCTTCAATTTTAGGGCCAACGTAGGTCAAAATTCCTGGATTTTCTTCCTTCATGCATTAGTAAAGATCTAAAGTAGAAAATATCAACAAACAAACCAAAAAAAGTCCCTTTTCACAGATCTGGTTACATTTTTGTTTGATTCAAGAATTGTAGCATGTAGCTTGAAAGAAACAATATTGATAATTTTCTGATACTTGAAGATAACTTTTTAGCTTTATTTCTATCAGTTTCCCACTCCGTTCTTTCAGATGTAAAACAACTGGAAATTAATGTCTTCTTAAAAAAATGGGATGTGAGCAGAGCTATCATTGAGTTGAATTGATGAAAGGCTACTTGATTTGTTTTAAAAAATCAGAAATTTTAATATCATCTCCGGTCTTAATTACTAAGTTCTTCAGGGTTCCTTGAATAAATCTGTGCTTTATTTCTTTAGGCGGAGAAAGAAGAACTGGCCGCAAAGGAAGCTGCTCCTGCTGCTGTCCCAGCTGTAAAGGCCGCTGAAGGTATCGAATACACAGCCCAGGCCGATGACTGGAATATCCCAGCCGTACCTGAGGTCGTCCCAGTCGCCCAAGATTGGAATGCTGAGGTCCCAGCCGTAGCCCCAGTCCCTGTCGCTGCTGCTGCACCAGTGTACGCACCACCCCCCACACAAGCTGCTGATGACTGGACTGCTCCCGTAAGTTTATTCATCATTTTAAATAGATCTTTCAAAGCTCAGAAAATGTTTTGGTTCATTACTGTCCAGCTGTGTCTTGGTAATTCAAAATTCAAGGGGACCAGGTATTTTTTAATTATTTAGAGGACAAGATTTCTAATTGAATGAAGTCTGTACGGAAAACTTCAGCACCAATGAATAACTTCTAAGGACAATGAAACTCTAAATTTGGAGACGAATAATCTTATCCATACAGACAAATATTCTATTGTTCCAATGGATCGATGAAATGGATTTCGATGTTCTATACCCGAAATGAAATAAATGCAAAGATGCATTTAAAAAGTTCAAAGTTTTCTTGATTTTATAAAACTTAGTTTCATGTGTGTAAAACACTTATTTTCTGGATTGGTCCTGATTGTTTTTCTTGGGTTGTAAAGGAATTTTTAATAGTCCTTCAGCTTTAAAATGATCATAGTCGTCGATATTTTCTCAGTTTTTATGAGGAGGTTTTTATAGTTTTAGGTAGAGCAATCATGCAGCTTTGAAAAGATCATAGTGGTCAGTTAACTGAACAACCCAAGAAAAAAATCAGTACCTACCCAGAAACTGACTACTCTACACACATGTGACTAATTAATTAACAAAAGGACTTTTTTACCTTAAGGCGTCCTTTACAGAGCCTGATTGTGTTCAAGTATACGCTATGATTATTCAGTTAAATTCATTACGCGGGGAAAATAAACTGCATTTTTTCAAACAATAGATGGACAGTCACTTTATGATGTTTTCATATGAAGCCTTATTTAATTGTCAGTGTTGCTTAAACTCATAGGACATAAATGCTACATCTACACCTATTGTGTCATTGTTGCTGTAATTGCCCATCTTTTCGTTGGTTTTTTAAGCTTCTCTGTTGTGAGGATTTAATGCTGCTGCATTGAAAAAAATGCTAGATAACTTAAACTTTCTAATATTTTAATGGTTTATATTTATGTTTCCAGGTTTCAGAGGAATGGCAAGCAGGCACCGAATGGGCCAGTGGTAGTGGGAACTGGAACTAACTGTAAATTCTCTTCTTTTTTTTTAATAGATTATTGACAAGTTTATATTACAGCTCATTTTTTTCTATTACTTACATTGTTGTTATATTTCTCTCACCCTATCCAAATTATAAAAAAAAATTTGTCCCATGAAGATAAATGGATTGCATTTTGCAAAAAGGAACCCCAAGCGTTGCAATGTTGCTAAGATTGTGCAACTTCTTTTGTCTAGGAAAAAAAACCTGATTATCCATTGACAGTTTCTATTTTACTCGCTGAAAACTGTGAATCTAAGACAAAAAGTACCATGTAAATTTCATATTTTTTCATGATTTCAGTTATTTTACTGCGAAGGATGAATTTGCACAATCTTAGCATCATTGCAATGCTTCTGGTTCCTTTTTGCAAAATGTAATCCAAATAATACTTACCTCTGAAATTTTCTATCAGAATATGAAATCCTTCCCAACATTAACCATCAGATATAAATTCAAAATGACTCATGAAGGAAGAGCCTAGTCTCGCGTGCTCCGATAGAAATAATTTTGGACCAGCCAATAGCTTTTGAAAATTAATAACCCACCGGTCTTTTTGCTTTGGCAAACGGACCCACCAAATTTCATTTAAAATCCAAGGATAATATGCCGGAGCGCCACTCATAGTGGGCACAAGGTGGAAGAGGACATTAAATCTGATTATCGACCTGTTGAATCATCACTCTCAATGGCTGAGCAGTCAGCGACAATGACATAAACACAGATTTACTGCTGAGTTTAATTTCGTTGAGAAGAAAAGCATAAAATTTAAACTCGGCCCTGTGGATTTGAACCTGCGTCTATGAATTTGCCTTGCTGGTGTTGTCGCTGCTGACCTTTCAGTCATTGTCCATGACATTATAATGGATGATGATACTTCTGTTAAATATTGGACTTTACAATGAGCAGTAGTGCTAAGACGTAACACCAACACTCTAAATTGCACTTGGACTCTGCTGAAGCCTGTTTCCCTTCGATTTTTAATGGCATCCGGTATACAGTGAAGAAAAGAGACCAGTTACCAGTGTGAAATGGACGTAATTCTAGCAAACGGAACTATGTGCATCATGACGTGAGCCCTGTTATGCATATATTCTTATGGGTCTCAGGGCTCATGTCTTAATACACATAGTTCCGTTTGATAGAAATACGTCCAAATAAAATAATGATTAACCCTCCAAATTTTTATTTGATAGAAGAAAGTATTATGTACTCATTTTTATTACTGCATTACTTTGCTGCGTAACTGCTGTAATCCAAGTTGAACAGCATTATGACACTAAAATGGTTCCAATCCAACATTAACCTGCGGAGGGATTCAATATCTTAATTTTGTACTCAGATAGCAAGCATCAAAGGAATTGTTAATTTTTCCACGCTCCCAAAATTAATTCCTTGAAATATGCCCATCTACAACTCACCAAATCTTTCAGCTCGTTAAACATGTATTTTCTTTTCTGTAATTACATGATTGTAAGCAAAATTGAGTCATAATTTCTATAAAAATGATTTTTCCATTTGAAAGTTTCAAGAGCCACTAATTAGAACTGTGAAAAAGAGTAACGACGGCGTAAGTCCGCTAGCACATATCTTGTTTGCGGTGTCTGAAAATCTCCGCCTCTAGGTTCTTTTTTAAAGGAGAACAAATTGACATCATTCCTTAAAGTTTTTGCAGAACTTTCTTCGCACAGAGAAGACGAATTACGGCAGTTTAAAATAATTGCTGTTGAGTATTCTTCTGTTTAAAAAATAAAGTTAGACACGAAGTCTGCGACGTCGTAAACCAAGTTATGTGATTGCTGACTTACGCTGCCGATAACTGTTTATCTGCCGAGGAAAAAAAAGGTTTTAAGGAGAAAAGCTGAACTTAAGTGTGTTCGGACTCATACTAAGGCATAATAAAATTTCCCCAGGCACACAGATATGTTTCCTGTGTCTAAGAAAAAGGTTTCCTATACCTATCCCTGAGCATGTGAACAGACGAAACGCCTTCAGAGTTAACCACTGACACGAACGTTCTCAACATGCGTGTATGATAAATTGCACTAAGGGTAAATGAAGGCATTCCAGATGGCTAGGAGCGGAACAATATGCCGTGACAGCTCAGCGTTACCGTAGCTGTATTTCGACGAGAATGTTCGGTCGCCCACTGGACGTGTGTTCCGATTATAGCCACCTAAAATTCATGACTTGCTCAAGTCCAAGAAAAAGAGAAATCAACAAAAGAACAAGTTGAGGTGTCTTTTAATACTAATTCCTACTCGTACCGACTTAATTTTATTTTTACCTGTTAAACTAACTTCAGGAGCAAACGTAATCGACGTGCATGTATGCAAAATTGTATTGATCGTAAATGAAGGCGTTTCATTGTGAAGTTGCATAATGTCAACGTTTGTAAAGCGCGGTTGTTCGTAATGTCGTCAACTTACTTATTGACATGGAATGAAAAGGAAATTATATCCCAATGTGTACCATTTTACCCTGGGTTTAATAATCCACTCCTAATAAAGAGATATTTTTTTCCAATTCTTGCAGGCAGCTGTTTTAGACAAAATTCATTTACGCGTCTCAATAATGGCTCTCTACGGCACCCCCTACATATTTTCCTCGTTTTTTAGTCTGACGAAGCAACCAATATTCCCATAAATTTGATTTTCAGTCAATAAATACGACGACTATCAGCTTGATTTTACGGCAATCTTTCAAGTTCAAGTTCTCGGTCAGCATACGTGATCGCCGAAAGCTTTCAAAAGCTGACGGGCCTTGGAATGCCGAGCGCATCGAAGGCTGACAGCGATGCCCTATCGATCGAAAATCGCTTAACTCCCAACGCAAAGCTCACGGAGATACGCGATTTTTGCTCAACGCGGGTGAGGGTGAGGAGCCGGACAAGTTCGAAAGCGGGAGCCTGGTCCCGCGCAACGGAATGCCAATGCGTCAGCGCGGATTCTGAGTCGGGTCGATGAGAGCCTACACCCTGCGTTTCATCGTTACATCCAACTTTTCGCGAATGTGGCGGCTGAAGTTTCCCTCGTTGTGATCCCAGCCTCTGAAAGTTCGTTCTCCGCAGCAAGCCATCATTTGTGTCGTCCGTCCGCCGAACATGCTGAAATTCACGTGAAGTTAGCTCGAGGTGATCGTTTTTCATGTCAGCGAACATGGAGCGCAGGAGGTTGTCGTAAGTAGATTTACGCCGATTCTACCCTTATTGTAACCGCCCCTCAGCGCAACAACCCCTAACCGACCCGTTGTATCCTTCAGGAACCCCTGAAATAATTTCGGTTCCGTTTTTCCGCGGGATCGGCACCGTAAGGCTCCGACCAGCGGCCCGTATCGATTTTGTTATGACAACTGTAAAAAGTTGTTAACCCACTTATGAAGAGGGCCAAAGTGCATTTCTCAGCACTTTGCTCTTTCTCAAGTTGTTTTCGCCGCTAGTTATCTCGAATCGAGTTCCTCGAGGGGCTTTTGCTGCCTTTGTGACCTGAGACGAGTCCCGCTGCACCTAATTAGTTGCCACAACACTGCACACAAACCTTATGTTACATAATCCATTTGTTTATCAACCCCTTTGCGAGACCTTTTCGAATGGCTGAATCTTTATGTTCTATGTCCCTTTTGCACAGCTTGTTAAATATAGGGAATGAGCCTTGTTTAAACGTCTAATGTCGATGTTTGGAAAATGATTTTTTCTCACCTGGTAATTCTAACCTCTAAAGTTAGTAACCGAGTGTCGCCTGCAAAGACATAAAGACGGAGCACTAAAAGCAAAAAATGAAGCTTCTAGAGCTTCTTTTCAATCACCTCTACTATTGGCTAGAGGATTGGCGGCGAAATCGGGACAAGTTTGAATTCAAATGTAGGGCGGGAAATAATAAATAAAATTGCGGAAACAAAGTATTTTAGGTTGATTTTTGCCCAAATTCAGGTACACACTCATATTTTATTAACTTTAGGTTAGTTTCGGTCCGTCGTCGACCGACTGATTTCATTTGGGAGTAACGTAGATCTAGAACTGTAACGGCCTGTTTGAACCTGCAGAACCACCATAAGCAGAAGAAAAATTAACTTTATCTGAGATTACTGCCTGTTACCGAGCAAAAGTAGGTGTAATATATTAGGACGCAGACCGAACTTTCTTAATATAATCGTTTTAAGCATTTAAAACACGTTTCGAAGAAGAAATAAGGAAAAATCAAGAGGACAAGTTCAAATCAAATTTCCGTTTGCCGCCATGGATTCCCGCGCTCATTTACACACTCACACAAGCGCGCAGCGCCGAACCTAGCTTCACTTTTTCCCCGTGCTTTTAGATACGAGCGCTCCGTCTTTATGTCTTTGGTCGCCTGTGAGGTTGAGTACGCTGAGAGGCGTTACCTAGCAGGTTTCTTTTTATAAAAAGCAGCAGTAACATTCATTGATTCAGTGTTACCGTTTTGTGTAACTGAGGATTTTTTTTTTGCGTAACTGAGGAATGCTGCGTAGTGGCTGTTTATGCGTGATTCGAAGAAATCTGCGCTATTGAAGTTTTTTTGAAAATTTCAGTTTATTGTTGTGGTTTTAAGGTTAGGCACGTCTTGCCTGGTCGTGCCGATCTTGGTTAACCAGTGGTAAACGGTCGAAGTACAGATAGTTTTTTACCTAGAAGCAATGCTGCAAATTTTGCTTCGAGATTCATACCTTACATAGTACACAAAAATATTTCAGAATCTCCAAAGAAGCGTAAAATTGTGCATGATTTGACCTATTGTGTGTATTTGCTGAGTAATTTCTGCGTAATTGTGTGCGCAATTGGAAGAATTTTCTGTGTAATTTGCCGTCGGGGTTGCATACGCAGAACGGTAACCTTGGTAACATCTATCACAAAATTTTATCCATGAATTGACCCATCTGCGGTCTTTTCACAGCTCGCAGAGCCACGTTCTGTGGAGCTCTTACCACTGATGAGAGATTGGCCTCAGCAGTGATTTTGCTGATGCTTTTGCTAGCGCGGGATATATTAACTTGTAAAAGTTGGTAGCGGATCAAAACCAGGTCAAAATTTTTGTTCAGTTAATCAATAGCAACTGTGAACCACTACAATTTTGATTGTCTGATTTTTACTGGTGGTTCTGTTGACTAGAAAATGAAAATGCTTCAAGTATGGTAGGAATGAAGGGTTTAACCTTTTTTGGTGCTAGCCAACCTTTATTCAGCCTGTCGCATCAGCAATGAACCTTAAGACTTCATACTTCAAATATACTTGAATGCTGGCTGGAGTCTGCTGTAATTTTTACTCTATTCTCTTATACTCATCGTGTCTATCCAATTTTCTTTTCAGCACCCATGGCGACTCTCTGTATCAAATTTTGGGATTACCGAAAACTGCAACCCAAGATGAAATCAAGAAAACATTTAGGAAACTAGCACTTAAGTACCATCCAGACAAGAATCCTAACAATCCAGAAGCATCAGAAAAAGTGAGTGTCTCATTTTGACTGCCAACCATTCTTTTCTTTTATTACACTGTGGGACTATCAAAAATTTGATGATCTGCGTCACTGTGCGGTGTGCAAAATCATAATTAATGGATCAGTTATAATTATTTCATCTGGTAAAACTGAATGGGAACAAAACATTCAAATATTAACTCTTTAGCTCCCATTATTTCTGTGTTCATAATTAACATCCTTTCAAAGCGTCAGACAGAAGAAGTAGAAATATGTTGCTGTCGGCTTTTTATTTTCATTTATTTTTGCCGTCATCTCAAAAATATTTTACGATGTCTTCATTTTAACTTAATGTATGATACTTCATCAGGTGTGATGGAACAAATGAAAAGAAAAAAAGAACATATGCAGTTATTTCATGAAATAAAAACCCACTCTTAACCGTAACTGAACTAGCTAATCAAATGTTTGTTCATCGGCTGTACTGGGTAGACTTTGCATCCGTCTTTTTGAGTTTTGTTTTTTATTTTATCTTAATATCAATGCTAAAAGTATGGTCCTCATCGGAAAAAGTTCGAAAGACCATTTTCCAAGGTGGGTTATTGATACCACAAATTCTGGTCTTTAAGTGTTATCGTTAATATTCTGACTAACATTCATTAATTTTCTGCTATGTATGTTTCAGTTCAAAGAAATAAACAAGGCTAATGCTATTTTAAGTGACCTAACAAAAAGGAATATTTATGACAATTATGGCTCCCTAGGTTTATATATAGCTGAGCAATTCGGTGAGGAGAATGTTAATACCTATTTCCTGGTCACCTCAGGATGGTGTAAGGTAAGCAATTTGTGTTCTGTTCAAACATTTTGACAAGGATTTTTTTTTAGTTTCTTTCTGATGCAAGCCAAGATGTTCACTGGCTCTCAAAAACTAATAATTTTTTTCACCATTTAGTTAGATCGCAAATTAGATTAAATCAAATACCTACTTTATTTCTCAGTAAAAAAAAAGAAAATAAATTCTTGAGTATCAAATAAACAGAACAAAATCATCAAGCCATAGCTCATTTTGGTGGACAGCAAAATTAAAATGCACTTGAGATTCTAGAATTCAACAATATGAAGTATTCTCACTCCCAGGTCTGCATGAGCCCTCCTCTATCAGATCAATATTGGGCATATTTAGATGGGGGGAAAATCAAGCCTTAGCCCGAGTGAAAACTTTTCCATGAAAAGAAGAATATTCCCTACAGACCTTTCTTTTATCAGTTTGTTTCTAATGATGAGTCATTAATGCTGGGGGTGATTTTAAAACTAAACTTCAAGTGTTCGAGTGATGAAAGAGACACTTGATAAGCTCTTCTGAAAATGCTTGTCAGTGTTTAATCCACTGAAATAATAGTGTTACCCATTGAAAATATTTGAAGAGTTTACAATTTTTTATCCTAATTGACTTTTTTCAGGCACTGTTGGTATTCTGCGCGGTTGTGACAGGCTGTTATTGTTGCTGTTGCTGCTGCTGTTGTTGCAACTTCTGCTGCGGAAAATACAAACCGCGAGCCCCAGAAGACTCAGGAGATTATCATACATTAAATGTAAGTTGCTTCGTCTCAACTTTAATTGTTATAAGTACAGCATGTAGATTGGCTTCTCATTGGGCTGCATACTTTGAATTAAGCTTAGAAATTCGTTGTCGTATATCAAAGAATAATAGACTCATTTTGGATCTCAGAAGCATCCAACTTCTTCAAAGGGGGGTGTTGAAATTTGTGTGAGATTAACAAGTATTTTCTGTGGATCATCTTCACGATTTTTTTGTTCTTGCGATAACTTTCTAATCATGTTACCTGTACTGTTTTGAAATCTTGAATTCCTTGTTTATGTTTTACTTTCTGTTGTAAAGTAGATAGTACCAGAAGATTTCTTTTTAGGTATTAAAGTTTAGTCAAGTAGATCATTGAGCCCTGAGCTATACTTGAGAGAAAGTCGCGCATGTTCGCTCTAACTCAACTATTTTTTATGAATCTTTGGCTGAAGTAGACATATTGGCAATGTGCAATTTCATGATTCACTGACTGTGGGTGTAGGATAGTGGGCACCTTAAGGAAAATTTCTTCCAAGGAATGACCTCGTTTATAGGAAATTCGAAGTGTTCTGTAGATACTTTTTATGAAATCACTGAATTTTCAGGAAATAAAGTAATTTGTAACTATGCAAAAAAATTGTTTGATCTTATCAAGTGAGTGGCATTTTAGAACTTTCCACCCAGCGGTAGCTACAGAATATTGCCATTTAAATTATCTTTGTACATGAATATGATGTTGTAGTTTTAAAATAGTTTCACTCATGTGTAACGCTTTCAAATTCTGCAAACCCAAAAGAATTTGACTACTTTTTAGCTCCTCATTTTAGGCGAATTCTCCCCTCTGCTTTTTCCTTCAACTCTTACTTTTCTTTTTAATTTTTATGTTTGAACTCTCTCTCTCCTAATCCCTTTATTTCTCTTTACACTGCAATAGCATTTACCTTTGCCCTAGATTCTTCATTTTTCAAAATCCAAGATCAGTCGTTGAAATGATTTAGAAGTTCTTTCGGCACATTTAAAAAGTGAGAGTCAAGCTCAAGCTAAATGCACAAATATCATGGATCCTCCTAACTTAGAATATTTTTTTGCCTGTAACTCATAGACTGAAGAACGAAAATTTTCATTAAAATATCCCATAGCACAATTTCACTGCTGCGCCAAAGAAGAATGCCGTATAAGTCCTCAGATGTTGCCATATTTTTTTTCAATAAAACCTAATTTACTGGGAAAATTGTGATTTTTTTAAAAAAAGAATTTCAGACAGTTTTGTTTGCAATTTTATCTAAAACATCTGATAATTACATGAAAAAATACACATACTTTTCCACATAAATACATGTTTTATCTGGAGCAATTAGGCAACCCTACAGGTCTCCAATCTTCCTTAGTTGGTTCCTTCATTGGTTAAAAAGTATCATCCTTTTCATGAAGTATAGTGGAAATCCGATGAACTGCCTGTTCCCTAAATTATCATGAACTGCTCATAGAATTGGTTTAACATTTCCTGTTCTTGTACAAGTTGAAGATTAAGGCCCCAGAGATAAACAAGCCATGAGCCGTAACTAGATCTGGAATGACTCATGAATTATGAAGGTCAAAGAATATCTCTTGTGAGCAAACACACTGGAGTGTTGTAAATTGAGTATAAATATTTCTTCCTGAAAAATTGTTATGAAATGCTGGTGGTATTATTTAATAGACAATAGATCACCAGATAGGGTACAAATTTCAGTATTCTGATCCATTTTTTCTCCTCCAAATTTCACGCAGAACCCGATTCGCGCAAGAAAAATTACTATAATTGGCTCCTAACCAAAATATTGTGGTTTTTATTAAGCTTTGGTTACAGTAAATTTCTTGCTCCCCCCCCCCCCAAAAAAAAAAAAAAAACTAGAGAGGCGATGAAGTTAATATACATTGTCACATTTCAGTTAAAATTCTTCTGAATTTCTTATTCTCATTTAACTCAATTTTAACGTCCACAAAAAGGAATCATGAACTGTGAAGTATCACCTGATGAGTATATTGAAAATTTCAATAAGAAAAAGAAGGGAAGATAAGATCTAGAAGGAGGAATTTCCATTTTTCTGTTGCGCAGTCTTGCATTTTTTTAATTAGCTGTACAAAAACTGTGTACAATAGCCATATTTTCGTTTCCCAACATCTGTACACACCCTGAAGAAAAACGCCGATCCTCTCTCCATTTGCCTTTAACTTTCTTTGCTTTCTAAGCTTTTTATTATTCCTTTATTTAGTTCCTATCAATTTTCCCTCTATTATTTTTGTTTTTTCTGTGCATATTTTGGTTCATTTTATTTATTTTTGGCCCTTTTGTGTTTCCTTTTCTCTCCTTTTTAGAGGGACGATGGTGTGAGAACAAGTCAACCCAGAAGTAACAATTATAAGGTGGGTAGTTCTTTAAGTAGTATGCTTATCTGGTCTTCAATCAGAAGACCAACGTGGACGACCCGAAACGATATTTTCCTGAAAAATGTGAGCAGAGTTTTTTTTAGAAAAGTCTAACCCTCTTGCCAAGATAATTTGAAACTTGGGAAGAATAAATTCTTGTCACATATTTTGTCTTGCTCATTCGGTAAATATGCAATTTTATATCAGAAGAATTTCCTTTTTTTAAATTGTTTGCTTTTCACCGGTATTCATACACACGCAGTAATCATCGTCTTCATTCTTTCTCAGAATTTCTCAAGTATCATAAATGCATAAAAATCCTAAACACTTAGATGTTTCTCATCACACACAAGAAAGCAAAGAAAGGTCTCCACAATTATTCTTCAATCAGATATTTGGGTAGATCTCTTCAAAAAATAAATTGAAGAAGGTACTGATTGCTCCCCAAGCAAGGAGCCCAAGCTTTTGAGAAATGAACGTGTCAAGAAATGGATAGTTTTTGAAAAAAACATATTTTGATTCCATCTAAGGATTGGTGATAGATGAATATTGGACTCGGTTTTTATAATGTAACAGGAAGATGATTTTATGAGTCTAGCTTGAATTTTTAGTCCAGCAGCAAAGCATGAAGCTGGTAGTGTCCTCAATTTTTAGCATTTTATTTCCACTCAATGTGTATGAGGGTCCCCTTTCAAGAACTAGAAGTGTTTGCCATGGGTGCTCATAGTTCTCGACTGGCTGGCCGAGGAAAAATTGTGGACATTGAGTTGCTTTTTTTCTCTTCTTTATTGTTAGTGATTTTAATCTCCTACAAACAGTGCGACTTGTGTAAATATCTTAATGAAAATTGCAAATGGAGCAAAAAATTAGACAAAATTTTAATTAGTGCGCTGCGTTGACCTTTTTACCAAAACTCCATGTAATTGTGGAGGCCTAACAATATTTGCATTCCTTGTGTTCACATTACACATCATGTAACTCATGAAGTAGCAATTTTAATGATCACATTATTCAGCAATACCTGCATACGGCATCCGATCAAAACGGCATACCAATACCACATTCATCATCTATTGATCGGTCATAAAATTTTAACTCACTGAAATAATATATCAAAATAATTCATCGCTCTTTCAATTCTTTTTTAGAGTGCTATTTTGACTATGCGTACTGCATGTTGAAAGTTTCATTTAGTGCTTGCACAAGGACGTTGTACCAGAATCATCATATATGACTGGGAATACATCATTATGTATCACTGAACCTTGCGTTTTTTATTTAATATTCCAAAAGTACTTGGAACGTGGATTACATGGTGATTTATCGCATATTTTTGAAGCCAAAATCCCAAACAAGCCTGCCATTAAAAAGTCCTAAGACTCAAAGGAATTTCAAACGCGCCGGAATGGCGGGAAAATAATGAAAATTATGCACTACGGTAGTCAAATTGCTATCCAATCTTATTTTCCATGTATGTTTGTTAAAATAAAATGTATTCCTCTGTGGAATTGTTGCTTGTTTACTACGTACAACATGAATGAGATTCAATTCCTTGATTTTCAAAAAACAGTTCAAACTTTTCTACTGTTTTCATATGCGAGGAGCAAAAAGTATTTGACGGAAGTCGTAGAAACCCGTGCTTGTTTCTGATTCGTACCGAATGATATCATTCAGTTCGGTGAAACTGGAGTGTTTTAAATTTGCGGAAAAGTTGCGCTTTTTGAATTACTATTTTGCACTCCTAAGTGCGCATTGTGTCTTAAGCGTCATTTACCTCTGGAAAAATTTATTCGCAAGTCAAAATTTGTTCACGGTTTAGTGACCCATTCCTACCAAAGTGTATGCTAGTATTGCCCATTCGTAATATTGCGTCCAGGTTCAAAGTCAACTTTCACTTGAAGTTCGCCTTTTAATTCTTGCATTTTAACTTTGTTGCGTTATGTTATTACCCTCATTTCATAATTTTGTTGACCTGACGCTGTTACAGAAGGACAGTGACCAGGAAGATGGCGGCGAAGGCCCGGTCACATCACAACCGACCTCAAACTCTGCGCCACCTAACAACTCAGCCAATCCCATCTTCGCGATGCCGCCTCCTCCGTCCGCAGCGACAGAGAGCACCTCACTGAACCCCCAAGAGCATATCTCATACACTCCAGGTAGCATGTGTTCATCCCATTCTTCTCCTATCAATGGTTCAGTGGCGTAGGATAACTGCAGTGTATCTGACAGTTGAGCCTGATGCAAAATCCTATGAAAAAACCTACAAGTCTATCAAAAATGTTTAAAAAGCACTTCATAGGCGAGATAAAACTGATAGTAGTCTGACCAATTAGAGTTGGCAGCCGCAATGACATATCCAGGTCTTTGACTATGCGTCAGCTAATCAGCAAATGAAGACTTCCTCACTGCCACTTCAGCGACATCACAATCGATTTTTTCGTCACTGACCCATTGAACAAACTCACTCTTTGAAACAAATTAATCTTTGTTTTGTCTTGCCTTATTTCTTTTTGAGAACAACTTTTACAGTAGGCTCTGACGAGTGTTTTGGTGGGATATACTAAAGCCTTTTAAAGCTATGGACATGCACCGCATCTTGATATAGAAAATCCAAATCCGTTTCTTTGCAAGTTAAGGATATTTTATACTTAACTCACTTTCACAACTGAGGCGAATGATTTTACCTTCAAGGAAACATTCCCTTGCTGACACAAAATCATCAAATGAGTGAATGTTTCGTTAAGTAGCAACCTCTACTTAGGTTGCGTACTTAAAATAGGAAATTGCAACTTTCTTAGTAGACTTGTGTCAATATTATACTGTTTTTCTGTTTTTGTCAAGGAGAGTGGGGGGTTAACTTTCTCGAAAATTTTCTATTTGTAACTTGTAAGTTTTTACCATGAGAAAATGCAAAGAATTTCAAGATGCAGCCGTTGCAAGTTGTCTCACAAGAATCATCGTTTCCCACATGAAGAAACTTATTTTGTCTGTGCTGTTTCAATATTTCTTGGAACTTTTTATTTTTTCATTGGAAAACCGTTGCATGAATCAGTCTGAAAATGTTCAAGTCCATTCTCACACGGGCAATGAAATATCATTAGAAATTTCAAGAAAATTCATGTGAGGATCTCCCTATGAATAAATAAAATGCGAGTAAGAATTACTGAAGCGGTGCAATTGACATACGTCCCCTTATGCGGGAGACGATGAAATTCGTGGTTTGCTGTTATTTTGACAAAAACTATGCTTCTACCATCTATGTGTTTCAGGCCTGTTCCGTCAAGTTAAAGAAAAACGCTGTATAAGCCATTAAGTGTTATTAAATTTCCTCCTATAAAACAAGAATTTTCAAGGAAATTCTTGGATATCTTTCCTCTAATTTTTCAGTGAATTTCACTTGCAACTTGATTCAAAGAATGTGAAAATTTCAAGGAAAAATATTGATAACTTTCCTCAAAAATTATTGTTTTACTAGGGAAATTTTAGTAATTCCTGAAGGCTCATATCACATTTCTCCTAAGCACGGTAGTGTTGGATGGTATTAAAGAGAGCCTCATTTGAAGCCTTGTTGGGTACTTACCAGAGGAGGTTAAACATCGGCTGATAAATATCTTGGGCATTGCCATTCCAAGCTCAAGCTAGACTTTCCTTTCACATCATCTCACATCCAAAAATATCTTTTTCTTTCTTTCAGTAACTAAGTTTTGTTTGCTACCGTTGCATTTCTGATTTTTGTGCAGCTCGTGTTTTGTAGAGTTTACTCAGTTGGTTGTGTCTTTTGTGTGCAACATACCTGTTCACAGTAGGGTTTTCAGCAGTACATAACAAATATGATATATTTCGCCAAGTTAAGGAGTGGTTCAATAGATTTTGTTTTGTCGTTAAATTACTGAGAATCACCTCAAGATGAGCATATCGACGGTGAAACTACCAAACCACGTATCTCGGTTTGCGACGTTGCAGACTTCCTGTCATACTTTATTTTTTAAATAGAATACTACTCACTGAAGTTCGTGAAAACTTCCGCAATTTTTCCTCTTTGTGCGGAGAAAAATCTGTGAAAATTGTAAGGAATGATATGGATTTGATCTCCTTCAAAAAAATAAAATGTGAGTAGAGATTTTTAAACACCGCAAACGAGATACGTGGTCTGGTAGTTTCACCATCGATATGATAGTAAAGAACAGTCTCTGCCTCCAAGCTCTCAAATATAATTTTTCCAATCGACCTGTTGCAAACTTTTGCTAGAACAAGAATAAGAGTTGCTTCTTATCAAAAATGGGTCAAAAATCATGTTGAGTGCATCAGAAAAGTCTGAAATGCACTCCTAACTTCACAATTTACATAAGGAATCTGCGTTTTTTTGACTATCTTGCTTCAAAAACGCTACCATGGCTCAGGTGAACATTTTGCTAGAGGAGTTATTTCATTCAATCCTTGCATACTAGAATGTTTTGCAATACTTAACATAACCGACGCTATCAAGACCGATCTTTACGACAAAAACGTGAATGTCAACACGTCAGGATGTTATTAAATGGTTAGAGTTTCGTCCTAGCACATGAGTTTTGGCCAGTTTTTGCGAATTGGCGTCGGCCATGTTGAATATTGTGCAGTATCCTACTGCACAGAGGTTGGAAGGGACGACCTCTCAAATGAAATGTTCACCTGTGCCGTGTTGTCATTTTTGAAGTGGGAAGCTCCAAAACACGTGAATTTCTTACGCAGAGTGTGAAGTTAGGAGTGCATTTCAGACTTAGTTGATGAACTCATCGTGATTTTTGAGCCATTTTCTATTAGAAACAACCCTTACTTATGCTCCAGCAAAAGGTTGCATCAGGTCCATTTTGAAAGATCTGGATCAACAATTTTTTTCCCATTGCATTTCCATACTCTACATCTAATAGACGTCAGGGGAATATGAGTAAATATTGTGTTTTGTATCATTAAAGAAACGGAAAAGTCAGGAAATGCTATCCAAAAAAATCAAGTCACCCTGCTCGTTTCCAGTTTTGAAATCATGAGTCTCCTTTAAAGCTCTCATATCGACGATTGAGGTGTCCTAACAGCATACTTTCTATTGTTCTAGGTATGACTCAAAGTGCATCACCTAGCCATATTTCCCAACCAAGTGGCGACTCGCACTGGTAGATGATCCTACCTCCCTCTCTATATGGTAGCTTGCTGCTGTGTAAATCCTCTACACCGGAACACCAGTCCACAGAACTTTATTTCATTAATTCTCGAACCAACGTGTCGGTTCTGCTGATCCCAGCCTCTGTTTGCCACTACCTTTCGGTGCAGTATTTATTCATTCAATACATTTATTTATCTATTTATTTATTTAATTTATTCAAAAAGTTTATACACATAGATTTTTTGTATTCAAATGAACTCAGGCTAGCATTCAAAATATTTTCGAATCTTTTTGTATCCTTTGTGAGACTGCTAGCTAGGAAATCTTGCTTCTCTTTGTTTTGTTGTTAACACAAGGAATGATGCCAAACTTTCCTTGCTCTATGGAATGTTTGAAATGTCTACACGTACATCGAAAGTAATTTACTTTTCATATTGCAGCACTTTCCTGTGTTTATTAATGGGTCACTGGACAAAGTCTGTACTAAAAAAAAATCAGGATAGTTCTATGTATAGTCCTTGCCTTGAAAAGTAATGGTTGAGAAGCTGAGTCAGTGAGTGACTTGGGCTATTGTTTAAGGGTTCAAAGGCAGTTACATTAGTGCATTTATAGGACCGTGGTTCACTAAAGCAAATGAAATCTTTAACAAAACACTGAGCTGTGCACTTGACTCTGCTCTACCACTTTCTGTAACGTGAACCATGGTCTAGTAATTGCCCCGGTTGATCCATTTTTTGACAGCTTGTGATTATTTTTTCGTTTCACTCAATGTTTCAATCGGACAATAAAAATTGAGTACTGGTTGGGGTATTGAATCCAATCTATTCAGTCATTGGAAAGTAAAATAGAACATTAAAGTCTGAATTAAATTGAATTTCCTTCCATACGATAGCATTATTGTATGATGCTTGCAAGTCACATCAATTGTTCAACTTGTTTTTTTTTTTTTTTTTTTCGGCTGTTTCTGAATTTTTATTTTTTATTTCCGTATTGTTTGTTCATGTGTAAGCTGATTTTTCCTTTTTTAAATCCTCCTAGCTAATTTTTCCTATCGAATTCTAAAATAAGCAATGATGTACGAAGGTACTTTCATACCACACGTTAATATCATATCTTACCCATCCATTTATTGTATTCTACACTCTCTAAATATTTAGTTTCATGATCTCACAAAAACAAAGCATAAAAGCAGGTATGTTTCAAACGTTTTGGACATTTTTTGGAGCAGCATCCAACTCAAAATGGGGCAGACATTTTTCTTAGCTTTAGTTTAAAATACGCACATCTTTGCATCAGAATTGTGTTATACTATTCCTGAATATTGTGTTAAACAAATTATGTTAAACATGGATGCTTACCACAGTTGCCTCAGTCAGGGAATACGGAGAAAAGTGGGAAATGTCAGGGAATTTTAAAAAGTCAGAAAAAAATTGTTAAGTCACTTGTATTTGCCTTCCAGGATGGGTTTGATAGAAAAATTTGCATGAAAAATATCTCAAAATACATGTCTTTTTTAACTGTTTGGCATATCTTCAATTGTCAGAGAATTCTACGAAAATGTGATAGGGAAATGTGAGGAAATTTCGTTTTCTAAATACTGTGGCAACCCTGTTACCAATCATGAATGTGCTCTGACTATTTGAATAAGAATTTTGTCTGTCCATTGTTTTTGACTTGCTTGTTGTTTTTCACAATTCACCGAGACCTTACACGACAATAATTCTCTTTATATATCTGTACATGCATCAGCTTACATTTAAATATTACTCTTCAAGACCTAATTGATTGTATTCGTACTGTAACACTATCGCCTTCTCATTAAACATTATTTACTTGGTTAAAGAAGAAAAATAAAAAAAAAAACCCTTGTCTAGAAATAGAATCAACAAGCATGTACAACTTGGATTTTAGCGTCCATGGTATCAATTTTGTCATCAAGGAGGCGTTTCTCCAATTAATAGCGCTTAAATTCCAGGCATTATCAGTAACAAATCGGACTGATGTATGTAGACTAGTCATATTTAAACTTTTATATCTTTTAAATGCATATACATCTGAAGAAAGTAAAAAGCCATCTTGTTTTCCCGTGACTAAAGTTCCTTTTTTTATTTTATTTTAATGGCAGTAATACAATTCCTGAAAATGCTTTGGTCAGAAATTGAGTAGAGAAATCAACATCAACTTCATCTACTGGGCGACTAGACAAGGCTTGAACTTGACAGACAAGCCACTTGTTTCTTCTTCAAGATTTGATGTAGAAAAAGATTCACAAAATAAAGAGTTCAGAAAGCAACTCCTGGACAAGATGTATTGAGTCATTTTATCACGAATCAAATGGAAGTTTGATGTACAAATGCTGTCTCTTGTACTTTTCTCATTTAATCAGCGTTTTTTCTTGTTTAGAAGTTCATTTTCAGACTTTCCATCGTGTGATTCGTGTCCCTTGTAAAATTTTGAAGAGAGATCATGTTGCGTAGTGCTTCAATTCATACTTTGTCTAGTGGCTCATTAAGGGCACACTGAGGTGTTTTAACAAGGGAAAATTTTTAAGTGTGTAATTTTTACTCTCCAAATGCATGAATGTATTTCGCCTCCTGGCGTTAATTTTTTTTTGAAAAAAAAATTCAGTCACAGTTCATCTTAATTTCAAGTTTCGAATGAGAATCAGGAATAGTCCATAAACAATTGGGAAAATGTAATCAATACAGAGAATCATTCAGTATTAAACATAGAATGTATCTGTAAATTTTTTTTGAAGCTGCCTGTTGTTTTTCATCAGATTTAACCGATGTTCCATCAACTGTTGATCGTTGGTGAAGAAAAATTTTATTTTTAAAGTCCCTCTGCTGTTTCTGGTAAAAAAAACTGCCCTCGTTTTGACAACTTTTTGTTATGATGTGTAATTCAAAATTATACTTACTTAGTTAATTATAGCACTGCATTTCTTTTGTGAAACTGCTTCAAGTCGAACTTTTTTTCTTGTGAGCAAGTGAATTGAAATTTCTGAAATGGCTTCCGTTAAAATTCGTCGATCATCAAATGAATTCTTCACGAAGCTGGTGACTAGTCGTAAGGATCATGTTATTAATATTCAGTCTGCTGTGTAAATATTTGATTTTTTTACTTTCCCCCTCTTAAGTTGTTGATTTTAGGTACCTAATCAATTTTGTTTTTATTATTTTTAGGTTTAAATTGTTTTCAGTCCCTACCATTTTGAGGTGAAATTTTTCAGTCCCTCCCAGCACTGACTCTTTGTTTTTAAAGGGTTTCTTGGAGCAAAACGTTATTAAAAGACTTTATTTCATCGACGTTCAAATGTAAGGGTGTATCTCAATTTCCCTGTGAGCCTTGATCTCCGTAAAACCTCGATGCTTTCTAGGGTTTTTGAGGAAATTGAAGTTTGCCCCTACATTGAAGGATCAATGATTTGAGCCATTGACTAATCCCAGACAGCATCACATAATTCTTTCTGGGATACGAATCGAGTTGAACAGAAGCAGACCAAGTTTGAATCAAGAAAAAAAAGTTGGCAGTTTTATCCCTCCGTAAGACTCTATATCTTCGACAGAGTTTAACAACTACTTTCACATAAAAATATTTTTCTCCGAATTCAGGAAGGAGAAAATTCATAACTTGTTGAATACAAAACTGTCTTCAGTTCATTTTTTTTTCGAAACGCAAATTGGTGTGTTCCTGTTCAATTGAATCTATATGTGCTCCATTTTTCTAAAACAAATCTGCTAATACTTTTCCGGTAATTGAAAGGAAAGCTGCAGTTATTTTATCGAATGAAAGTGAAGAACCTCCTGAATAAACACTGAAAATTGGACTGTGTATAAATTTTCAGCTTCGTAATTAATTTGAGGCTATAGTCTGAACACTTAATCTTCGATTGCTTTGTGGGATTATTTAAATAGGACACCTAAAATGCAAGAGGTATTATTCCTCACGGCATTGGTTTAGGATACTATTTTAATCAGTACCATAGCAGTTTGAGGTAAGGCGGTTAGATGCTATGGTGTAAAAGGAGTTGCATTTCAACGAAGCTACAATTGGAATTGTGGCAAATTTTTAAGATTTGTCAGAAGAGTAAGACTTCTTTTGCCTCATAGCGGTACGCTCTGACTGTAATCTTTGTGAGGTAACTGTTCATTTTCTCTCACAGGCATTTTTTCAAAATCATCTCCAGATTCAGAACTTGTTTGTTTTAAATTCCCTGTATGACAGTTGTCTAGCAATACAACTTTTTTGAATTGCCGAAAAGAACTGCTCCAGAATTAAATGTGACCTTTTTGCCACGATTCCCTGTTTTCATCATTGTAATGTTACAATATTTCACATAATTTTTACTTTTAATTTTTCTCTTATCAGATATGTCCTTTAAATGTTACAAACACCAGTTCACATGTGTACATATTTATTTATGGGTAGGCAAGTATTCCAACGCCGTTTGAGGACGGTGATTTCAGTTGCGCTAGTGTGTAAGTGACCAAGTCAGTGCAGTATTTTCACCTAATTGTTATTTAGCACTCGACTACTGAGTCGTATCGAAACCAGTCGTTCTGTACTTTAATCTATAACTCAAGCTTGAAAAATATAATAAATTGAATAAATGTTATGCATCTGCGTTTTTTATTTCGCGTTAACTGAGAATGTTTAATTTACCCTTTTGATCTAGAAAATGTCAGCATTGGTAATTAACTCATTTTTTCTTCTGCCAATAAGAATATCAAATTTCCTAATTAGTTCCTGAAAATTTGAGTATCCAGCCTAAAATTTCGTTCTTAACCTACATACTACAAAATATAAGGTATTCAAATCAAGACTGCGAGATGTGAAACTGAAAGCAAATCAAACATTGAGGATGAATTCGTGATTAAAATAATTTTGATATCAACTAAAAAAAACTCACAATCGTCTTGATCTTTGAAAGACGAAGAACTCCTTGACTGAGAGATAAAAACTTGTAGCCAGGCTATTTCGAGATGATTTCATGATATCCACCCATCAATTTTTGAGGAATGTTTTAATTAGAAAAAAACCAATGTGCCTCTAATGCTGTTTTCAAAATCTGCTCTTCATATTATGGCATCAGTCTTGAGGGCTCTAGTAGAAAATTTTAAGTGTTGAGTTTTCATTTTCACTTTCATTCTATCCTTGAGAGATGAGAGACATCCAGACAGTACGAAAACCGTCATTAAAGTAGCTGGGGTAAGGAATAATGAAGATAATTAGTACCTGAGAAAAATATCTGTTCATCTCAAACTTCAAGTGACGCTATTTCACAAAATTTCTGTTTCTTAAATTTTCCAGAGCAGCCCAGAGTAACTAAAATCTTCAAGTATTTTTCCAAATGAGACCTTTGCACCCCACTACATCACATCAATCATATTTAAAAATTTCCCAGTATATCTTGACGCATTAACGTTAAAAGGAACTCAGTAATGATGAATTCTATGAAAAGGAGCTGTGCGCATAAAATTTACGAGCAACATAGCTCCTTTTGATTTTGTTTCCCCAGGGTTTCTTAATTTTAGCATGAGTACCCTATGTAGGTATTGCGTCCATTTGAAAACGCTTAAAACATTCGGAAGTCTTCCTATAAAAATAGAAATCTTCCAACCACAACAACTCATTTTTAAAGCTTTGGAGGCATACTGCATTCCCGATAAAGTTAAGAAACACTCCAAAGGTACTTGCCAGAGGGGTTCATTGGTTAAAAAAACTTTGGGAAAAACAATCTTTCAAAGAAATGACAGTCGCCTTGACGATTTTTATGAGCTTAATAATTGTTTTACAAAAATTGATAAGTGTTAACCCTTGCTATTTGGGAGAGTGTAGCAAGACGATTATATTTGAGACAGTTTTTTTCACGAGGGCAAAGGCTTGTTTTGAAACCTTCATCATACGCATCGACTGCGCATGAGGTCTGAGTTGCTGATGGCTCGTTGCTTCAGGACAATCCATCCATATAGTCATTGAAAAGTAAGTCGATTCGACGTTTCACCCTCTACTAATTATTTATAGATCTAATTGAGGCTTCACCACCACAACTTCACACTCCCTGACATGGTTGCTATCCAAACATGAGTCAGAGCTACTTGAATGACCCCTTATTCTCTATTAGTGACATTGTAGGTAAGTAAGTCAGGTTTTTCGCAATCTGAGAACAGAAATATATGTAAGTCATATTTTCATTTCGTATCGTTCAAAATGAGTGACGCAGTTTATGGAATCGATGAATCGAGATCATTACGTTTTAGTGAGGTTTCCAATATGATTTTCCCTCTCCCAGGGAAAGAGGTAATCTGAACTGTGAGAAATTCCCATCAAGTGGCAACCCTGACTCTATTTTCTATGCTTTTGCGTAGAGGGCTTCCGAAGGAAATTCCCTACTTTATCCCTTTTCCCCCTCTTGTCGGCGTGTTTATCTTGTTCATGTGCATGTGTATGTATCGGGATCTTGTGTGAATCCTACTCAAACTATAGATTCTCGCCGAAATATATTGTGTATATTTCGTGTATGTGAATACGTTTAGAATTGTCTAGATATCACCTGAAGGTACGAACAAATTTTTTAAACTTCGTTCTTTAACGAAAGCGGAAACACTCTGAGTGTTCAATCCACTGTGTTGCCAAAAGTACTCCTGCCAAGAATCTAGCTCAAGATCGTATTTCATGATTCGCCGGACTGGGCGATTGAGTTTCTTTAAATTGAGCTCAAAATGACCCTGGCTTAGTTTGATATTTTCCGAAAACTTCTATTTAGAAGTACACGTAAGTAAATTTAAGCTTTTTCTCAACATATTCACTCATGATTATTTAGACTTTTTTCATGAGTGTCAGGGTTGCCCTCGGAAAAGTCACAGGTTACCCAGGATTTGATTTGTGCACCGCCCACACGAACAATTCAGCTTTAATGTTTCTAGAGATGAATTACGGTGATGCCTTATACTATAATGGTACTTCTGAATCAAATCAATCTCAATACCGTCTGCTTACCCACTGTCCATACATTTTAGTTCAGCGCTGTCGCAGGTTTATTCACCATTTTATTTTAATCGACCCTGGGCGGTTCGCATGGCGAGTCGTAGGTTGTCATACTGGGGTAAGGAAACTCATACCACATCGTTTTCAATTATTTTTCAAACATTTGCTTGAAAATTAGAGTGAACTCAATGGTAAGATGGTATAGAAACTCAAATTTAACATTCAAAAGGCACTATAGACATTGATAGCGATAATGGCAACCCTCATTAACTTTGACTTTGGACCCTCTCACTGTCAGGTCAAATAAGTTTTACCTTGCTGTAGGTATGTTTACTTTCAGTATCTATTAATGATCGGTGTTGCAGTGACTATGGCTCCTTAATTTCTTTCTTTTTAATTCGTTGCATTGCTTTAAAAAGTGCTGTATGTTTTCATGCTGACTAATTTCTAAATTTATTTTATTTTTCAGATCTAGCTCTTTCAGAATTCGCTGAGCATAATCATCCATGTTCCTTAAACAGTAGGAAACATTGTTTTCAGTCACGACCTTGAATGTCGCTCTTTCACTGGCTTCTCAGAATTGAGCAAAAAACCAAGATAAAAATGTCTTGTGTTCAAAAACCAAGATGGCTGATCTTCTAAGGTAACCAGAAACAAAATGGCACATCTTCCGACTCACTTTTGAAGTGCGTGGGTAATTACATAAACTTATATGGAATGGACGCTAAGTGACCCACAATAAGTAATTGAATTATCAATCAAAGAGGGACTCTAAACATTCAGAGAGTCTTAGAAATGTGAGAAAAAAGCAATTGACCATCACCCATCACCGGTCCAAAATTGTAGTATCCAATTTTTTGCACCGAGAAATCAATTTGCTCATATCAGTATTGCCACCTCTGGAAAAAATTGTCAATTAAAAAAAATATTGCCTCCAACAGTGATCCTCTCTCATTCCAATGCTGTCACCTGCCAATTAACTTCATATTTTCCGCATCAATAAATCGTAAATAAAGTGAAAATCACTAAAATCTCATTGGTGTAGAAACAAAGGTCTTGTGAAGTTAGTAATATTTTAGTAACTAGGCTCATCTTTTCATAGGTTATAATAATAATAATGGGTACCTACTCCATACATCATAATCATACTTTTTAAAATGGAGATAATTGTTTTGAAATTATGCAAAATCACCATCCAAGTTCACCCTTTTCTTTTCTTCCTCCCTGCATGATTTAGGTACCTACCATTTGTCATGAAGTAAATAAATAAGTAAATAAATCTTGATGGCTAAAGTGCGAAACTACGCAGGTATCTCCGTTTACAACGTTGCAGACCTTTGGTCTGATTTTATTTTTCTTTGAAAAATTAGTCAACTTATTTCGTTGAGAACTCCCTTGATTTTTTGCTCTACGAGCAAAATATTCCGCAGAAACTTCAAGCTATATTGTTGATTTGTTTCTCTTCGCAAAAATGAGATAGGAGCAGAGACTTTGAGACACCGAAATGGAGGCACGTGGTTTTGCACTTAAGCCACTGATTTACTACAGACATAAGAGAATTCAAGGACATAGCGGAAACAAGGCTAAAATACATAAAAATACAGGGGATGTTTCGGTGTCTCACAACACCATTATCAACAGCTAAAAAATTACAAAAATAAAAAAGAAATTAAAATCATAAGAGACCAGCACAGCGTTACATGGTGATGGTACATATGAAAGACTGCAGTGATAAAAGGAGTAAACAAAAAGATCCAAAAGATCTTGGGCTGCCTGTGTACCTATGTCTTAGTTCCATAAGAGAAATTAAGGCAACCCAATCAATATATAGCATACAAGAACTGGACCTGGGGGGAAAAGTTAAAATTTATTCAAATTAAAAAACGGAGACGTGTCTAGCTACTTGGGTCCGAAAGTGATTGTTTTTCAGATTTTAACCTTGTTTTATTTTTTTGATTTAAAAGTGTCCAAGTGTGTTAATGAAACGTCCTGATTTTTTAATTTGCATCAAATTGAGCCCTTCCCCCCCCCCCCCCCCCCAGGTTGTGTCCTTCTGTGTCATTCCATGGACATCAGTTTGTATGCCAAGGAAAAGTGAGGTTAGGAATTCATCGTAAGCCTCATACCTATACCTATTGGCAGAGTGAAAAGTGTAGGTAAAGGTGCTAATCATTCAGAAGATTATATTTGTCATTTTAAGAATTAGGGAATAAGAGCGAATGGTATTTGCGCTGACACAGTATTGAATCAGAATCACTCATGAAAAAGAAGTCTTGCCTCTTACTTGCATTATGAAATAGGTGGATGTCAAATCGGAATCTCCCCAAAGCAGGAGTTTGAATTAGGTGGCTGCTATTTCAAAGGAGAATCCAAAGGGGAGGGTGACATTCCTTACCTAAAAGGAAAATTTATGAGGGGGGGGGTGTCTCAAAGAAATCTTGGAAAAAGCCCCATGATTAAACTAATAACTTTCTAAATGATGTAAGCGCCGCTAATTTGATTTTGAGAAAAACTATTTTGATTAATAAGCTATAAGAGATAAGCTATTTTGATTTTGTGACTGTGTCGTACGATCATTATAAACGGCTATAAACTCCATTTCCATGCATCTTCAATAAATATGTTTAGAATAAGTATTAGATTCTGGAAGCATCATTGGTTTCTTCATATTTTAGATTTTTTCCTTAATTCAAATATAGGAGTGTGTTCAAGCATAAATTAATTTTGGAACTTTGGTTCCAGGGTAGAGTACTTTTGAGAGAGTATGGCTTGGCCATTCGGCCCCATCTCTAAAATGGTGGGGCTTTGTTTTGATTTTTGCTGATGGGAGGAGGGGGGGTTTATTGCCAACCTTTGATGGTTATCACTAACCGTACTTGCTGCCAACGTTGTACATCCAAAATGATTTTTCTTGAAAATTGCACATGATTAACCATTAAACTATGTAAATACGTTGTCATGATGCAATTTTGTGCAGTTCCCGTTACGATATGCAAATAAAACTACATTTTGAGTCATTTTTTTTGTAAACTTTTTCATAGTGTCCGCCATTTTGGGCCCTAGAAGGCTCCATTCAGCGTAAGATAACTGACAATGAGCCAATCAAAGGTGGTAACTGCAGTGGCCTTACTCTCCCCATTAAGGTGCTCTATTCTGGGGGACACAAATGTATTTTGTATCTTTCATAAAATTATAGAGGACCAAATTTTTCTCTCAAAATTTCTATCGTTTTTTGAAAAGTAAAGCACTGTTGAAAATTTGCAAAATCATGCCACAGATTTAATTTTTGAAAAATCGCACTTAAAATGGGTCGACGCGGTTTAAATTTGTTTGCATTTAAAATTAGTTTTGTACATAATTATCTACCTTGAAGAAATCATCATCATTATTTTTTATTTTACAGGTGAACATCTTTCAATTCTGCGAGAGTACATGAACTAGTATGACAAACAGCTCAACCATATCTCTAAGACACGAAGTTTAATCATTATACCATGGATCTCACGGAGGATATGCTTGATGCAGTCTTGATCAAGGTGAGACTGAATTTTTCTTGGGTTTGTTTCAACAAAGGCCACACTTCACTGCCGTGGAGCATAATACTTTTTACAATAGAATCATACATTTTTTTTGCTTTTTTTCCTATGACTTTCGCTAATCCCCAAGAATCATATTGATAGCCAAAGTGCGAAATCATGTTGCAAACTTCCTATCATACTTTATTTTTTATTATTTGAGATAGTAACCATCATAATTTCTTGAAAACGCCCTTGATTCTTTTTCTTTGTTAGCAGAATATTCTGTAAACATTTCAAGCTGTAAAGTTTGCATGTTTCTCTATGAAAAAATAAAATAGGAGCAACAATTTTGAAATACTCTGATAAGAAGATATGTGGTTTCACACTTTGACAATTGATATTGCAATGGCTCTCCTTCCCTACAGCCTGATTGTTGAAATTTTGTGTCTGTTGAGTAGACACAGGCGACATAGGTTAAAAGACGGAGCAAGATTGGTTGGCTATGTCTTATCGCTGCTTTGTCGTGCCTATGTCATGTGGACCTCTCGATAAGCTATAGGCACCTCTTAAATTTCTGACAGTATGTCCTACACTCCATCTGACAAAGGCATGATAGAGCAGGGATAAGACGTAGCCAACCAATCACGCTCCGTATTTTAACCTATGTCATCTATGTCTACCCAACAAACACAAAATTTCAACAATCAGGCTGCTGGATGTTCATGTATTTAATTACATAGTCTTCACCGACGCCTTTGCATACCCGCGAGAGGAACGATCGGGCCCGCCTCGTCTGGTCGGGATATCTCGCCGGGAGAACCACCAGTCCTTGTGACTGGTGGGGGTGTAGAGGTTCGTAGTCGGGGTCCGAACCCACTCGCGCGCTGCTGACCATGCCTCAGTCCTGTGTGTGCGGGGTGCGGGTAGCTCTCTCGAACCCCCTGTCAGCTGATTGCAACTGTTGGGGGGGTGGGGTTGGCCGCCTGTTCCTGGCACATGCTAGCAGTAGTTGCCGGAACTCGGTTTTCTCCCCGCTTCCAAAGCCCAAAAAAAAAAAACAAAACAAAACTACATAGTCTATATCTTTCCCCCCAGAGCCAGCCGAACTTTTAGATACTTATCAGTTGCTAAAGTTGTAGTTGAAAGTATCTCAGTTTGCAACAATTCAATTATCTGTGCTCATGTTTTTTCCCCCTAAAATAAACCTCACCAAAATAGTTTCCCTTAAAATTTTCTGTAAACTTTCATCATCTATTAAAAAATATTCACGTGAGAAATTTCAAGTATATATTTTTGTGGTTCGTTTCCTTTTGAAAGACTAAAATATGATTAGAGATTTTACAACATCGCAATAGAGTTACGCATTTTTTAATTTTAGTGCCATTGTCATAACCCCTGCACCCTTTGAGGCGATGATCATTCTACAGAGCTCTATGTTTTCCTGTGGCCGTGCAGCCTTTCTGTCTTGGACACGCCTTTGTTCAAGCCCCAGTTTTCATTTCCTTTTACCATCTCGCTCATCAATTAATCTAAATTATCTTCATCTTGAGATGTTACAACTTGATTATAGGCAAAGCACAGAGTGCGAAAAGTTTGCCCATCGGTGAGTGGTATGCTCTTTCAGGCAGATCCTAGTTTAGACATTTCCAGTCCGAGACATTTTTTGGAGGGTTCCTGTAGGTTCCTTGGAACCCTGAAGCCGAAATGAAAGCTGATACTGAAATTTCAACAAGTTTGTTTGCATAATCTGTAAAAAAAAATTTCAGGAAGAACTGAAAAAAAAAAAATTTGACAAATAGAATTTTATAGCTGAACTTTTGTTGTCGAATGTAACTCCAGTAAACCTGGATCCTCTAAGTTCCCTCTGTCATTATCTCTAGGAATACAAATATGAAAAATCTCATTGTAAATGATAAAAAAGGAAAACATTTCTAGTTTTCTTTTGAAGATTTTCAAACAGATTCATTTATCAGAAAGGAAAAATACTATGCCGACTTAGTTTTGAGAAAGCAAGATTTGAAGTTTGAGGGATGCACAGGTTCTTTTAGGGGGCAAAAAGTTTAAATTGGCAGATACCGTGAGCTTTTGGTCTTTTCCCTGTCACAAATAAATTCTCGGTTAGGTAAAAGCTTTCTTTCAAATTGTTCGTGTTCAAAGTTACTTCAAATTAAGATGTCCCGTTCAAATGTTTACCTACCTTAAATCTCCAAGACATCGATGTATACTGGCTTTCTTCTGCCCTACTGTTAGTAATCATGATTAATAAGAGCTCCTTGACACTGGACAATTTAAATTTTTTTTTTGGTTGAATGTGATAGACCAAGCTGATTCCCTTTACGGTTTTTCCAGTGGCAGGTAATGATCTCCATATCGACGGCGTAAGCCCGCAATCACATATCTTGTTTGCGGGGTCTGAAAATCTCCACTTCTATGTCATTTTTTTAAAGGAGCTCAAATTGATATCATTCCTTGAAGTTTTTGTAGAATTTTCTCCGCACAGAGAAGAAAAATCAGTTTTCTGTTTGAAAATAAAGTATGACAGGAAGTCTGCAACGTCACAAACCGATTTAAGTGATTGCTGACTTACACTGTCAATATGTGAAAAAATAAAAAAAAATTCTCTAAAAAAAAAAAAAAAAAAAAAAAAAAAAAAAAAAAAAAAATCTCAAATCTAAAAATTATCTCTTTCTAAATCTTTTCTAAATTCTTTAAAAATAAAATAATTTCTTTAAATTTTCGAATTATTGCCCAGATTTTTATTTCTTTGAAAAAGTTTTCTACTTTCTGGTGGTTAGGCTGCAAAGTAGTCAATGGAAATTTTCAAGTGATAAGTGCCATTCATTTGGTAGTATTTTTTCCCCATCAAATTTTTCTCTCTTATTTTTCATCGATCATTGAATTTATCATTTTGATTTCGAAGCTAATGTTTACTTTCCACTTTTGCAGATCGATCCAAATGCTTATCATGATAGAGGAGACTTCTCTAGTGACTATGATTCTGATGATGAAATGTACCATATTCGCATCGGCGAACAAAACGATCCCAGTGACAAGAGTTCGGAATCCAGCTCAGATTTGTCAGACAGTTCGGCGTTGGAGGAGTCAGAAAGTTTAGTGTCCTACAATCATAGTGAAATTAAACTCATGAAACCAGAAGTTCGACTGCCTCGCATTGACGCCTCGCTGTTCCAGTTGAAGAAAGTCATCAGTACGAGTGTGAAGAATGTTGAAAACTCCGGTAAAGATCATCCTACCTTATCAAAAACTGATGAAACTCGTGAAACCATTCAGAAGGTCAACGAGAATGCTGTTTCAGAGAATCCGAACCCTGCTGATGAGGCTGAAAAGAATGAAAAGTTGCCAACTGCAGATTCGTTAACACCTAAGATTGCCCCAAAATTAAATGAAGCTCCGGTCCCAGAAAACCTTAACTCGGAAGGAAAAGCAAGAAGTGGTAAAAATTTGCAGATGGGTACTCCCAAATTACTCAAAATTTTATCCAACATTGACAATAATTCTGCTTTGGAGAACAAAAACTCTGAGACTGAAGTAGGAACTGGTGAGAACCTACGAATTAGTGCTCCAAAATCACTCACAACCACTGCGGATACCAATGAAAATTCTCCTGCTGTGGGCGGAATTTTAGAGGAAAATAAAGTAAATGGTGGAAACCTCTGTATTTCTGCCCAGAATTCATCAAAAATTGCTCCAGAAGCCATTGAAAGTTCTGTTTCTGAGGACAGAAATTCGGAAGAAATAGCAACCAGCGTTACAAAGTCAGGAACCAGCATGAAAACCAAGATGAATGATAAATCAACTCCTAGAATCAGCAAAACCTCTGAAAGGTTGAAATCAGGATTACAGGAATATTCTAGTGGTGGTGAAGAAGTTACCAAAACTGACAAGAAATCAATGACTACACCTTTAATGAATAATCCTGTAATGTGTAAAGAAACTGCTGTCTCTGAAACTTGTAAAAATTTGACTGCCCTTATCAATAATCCCAATGAAAGTGGACTGAAGATTGTCAGTGTAACAGGAGCTAGTTCCAATGAGGAAGTAAGCAATAATGAAACTCCTCAAGAAACAACGCCAGAGGTGACAATTAAACAAGAAGAAGAACCTATTAGCCCAGATCAATCGTCTCAGGTCCAACAAATTGTGAACAGATTAGAAGAACTGAAAGGAACCATCAGTACGTCAAGCAGCAGCATCAATCAGTCTCATTTGATCGAACCCCTGAGTAGCGACAATTTAAACGTCTGCTGGGAAGAAGCAAGTTCTAATATTTTGGCTCCCCCACCACAAAATGATCCAAGTCCCAATGAAAGTGGCCTCAAACCAGCTGAAATCAAGTCTCTAGCTACTACCAAGGAGTCCCTCTTTTCTTCTGTGACTGTAGGTGTATCAGAAACCAAAACAAACAAGCAATCGGTAGGGAATGCTGCGGTTATCGATGAGAGTGATGCTGAAAGCGATCATGATGGATTGTGCATTGACCTCAATGGCGCTGAAGGCAAAACTCCTCCAAAACAAGGTAAAACAGCAGCCTCAGGAGTTGGTAGTGATCAATTACCAAAATTGACGGTGCGGAATTTTGAATCGGAGTTGAAAGAACAATCGGTAACAACAACTGAAATCAAGCAGGAGCAAGAAACTATAGAAAATAAACTCACTCTGTACAATGAATCGGACCTTCCCTCTGTCATGACAGTACACCTATTGTGCATGAATTGCATTGAGTATGCCAAAGAAAGATGGCCGGATAGACCTTTGATCAAGCACATTCTCGTCAAGAAGAAAGATTGTGAGGTTTGCAAAACTAAGGATGTTCCACCTGAAAATACAGCTACCGAACAGGACGAAACTGTAGAGTCAATTACCACAAATCTGTCCAATGTCGAAAAGATTATTGATAATGTTGCACGAAATTATTCTAAAAAACTACCTTCCAGCCCTCCTTCAAAAAGCTCTTTAGAAGAGTCCTTGAAAGATGTAACACCAAAAACTAAAGGGGTTTCATCTCAAGATATCATTTTAGTGAATTCGTCGAACGTATCAACGAATCTTGCTAAGAAAGGGAGTAACATCATCATCAAAGATGTTGCAATGAAGAATGCAATAAAAAATGCATCTCGAAATTTAAAGCCATCTGGAATGACTACGTTAGACGGAAAACTGTACAAGGTTATATTCTTGCCGAAATCTTCATCCCCCAAAACAATAGTCACATCAACAACATTGAAAATAGCCGACGGACCCAAAACCACTACCAAAGTGGTTACGTCAAACAAGTCCGCCAGCTTGATTTCTTCCTCAACGGTCACTAAGTTGACCCCAGCAAGTAACTCCAGTCCAATTATTGTACCTGCAGCAGGGGATAATATTATATCAAACCCGAATGTCAAAAAAACGAATGAAAATCTGCTTAAATTCACCTCGGATGTGCCCACCGTCCCCAACCGCACTGTGTTTTCACCCCCCAAGTCATCAACATTCACCACCTCATTGTTACCTAATTCTCTTCCAAAGAAAAAGTTGCCTTCTCAATTGTCATTCAACTCTGAAACAATTAAAATCCAAGCTCCACCAGGTACTCCTGCTTTTAGGAATATTGCCAGCAAAAGGGTCAGCCTAGATTTGGGGAGTGTTAACGTAGAGAATTCCAAAAAAGACTCTGCTCAAGTATCGGATAACATCAAGATCAAACGACTCAGTACTGACTCGCACATTACCCTATCACCGGGTGCAAAATATACATCAAAGCTTATGCCACTCAACGATTACTTGGCCCTCAATCGTACTGCAGGCAAGACAGGTTCTACTCCCATGAAGGTCATTCATCATTCGGAGAATGCTCAACATGGGTCAAAGGTTTCAGCTCCACTAAAAAGACCTATAACCATAATTAATGGAAAGCCTGATAATATTATGGATGTCGATGATGGTGCCATAACGATGAGCACTAACAGTGTGAAGCGGCCCAGAATGAGCGTTGAAAAAGGTTCACCTTATTTGAGTAACTGTTTGGATGACGGTGCAAAAATATCTATCCTGAATTCTGTTCTCTTACCACCGTTTTGCCCAACGACTCCTGATAGTATTTATGATGCAAAAAATCCTGTCGCCAAGTACACTTGTCCCCAATGTCCTGACACGTAAGTTTTTACAAAGTTGTTGATTTTCCTCTAACTGTAGAGAATGAAATAATCGTGCAGTGAAATTTTGATTCAGCTAGTCCACTAGGATCTGAGAGGCTTAGACATTGGGATCCAGAAACACAGAAGTTGAGGAAAGGATTAACTTACTATTTTTGCATGGATTAAAGATTTACCCTACCAACAATGGCTGTTAACATTTGTTTTTAAAAATCTCTTGTAAAAACTGTTACAATTTTTGAAGAAGAAAACCCTTTTTGGGATTTTTGACATAAAATTTTCAAGTGGCAAAATTTAAGTAAAGAAAGTGTTAAAAAAACTGTCAAACGTGATTTTTTAAAACAAATTTTTAAGGTAAAATTTACATGAAGATAGTGTTAAAAAACTAGTGTATTATTTTTAGAGTTTTTAGGAGTTTTTTTTAACAATCATTGTTTTGACCTATTGTAAATTTTTCGTTAAAAAAAATCCCAAGAAGGGTTTCCTTCTTAGTAAGTTTTAATAGTTTTATTAAGAGTTTTTTCCGTAAAATTAACAAGTTTTTCAAACGATTTTTTACAATCTCTGCTACTAGAGTAGCCTTTAAAGACTAAAACTCGCACCATTATCACATCATTTCGACAGAATTCTTATTAGTCATTTCGAAAATATGGTCGAAGGAAAATGACTATTTTTCACCAATATATTACATTTTTGTGCTATTTTATAATTGACTGAGCAATTTGTATTTGTCATCTCTAGCTTCTAATTGCGTTGTCTATTTTTTCTTGTGTCGGTTTTAGTCCAAAGATCTATGCTAGTAGAGAGTTGGGTAATCAAAGTTTCACTGCACTAGGGCCCAAAATTGCAAGATCCCTCTTTTTAAGTAGATGTGTATAATGTAATTGAATTGATTTTTTCCTAAAGAGGCCAAGCACCAAAATCCAAGTCTTGAAATCATGGGAAAAAATCCGTCATTTAGTTTGCGTTCAATTATTTGGACCCAGTTTCAATAGGTTTTCTTCAGACACATCATACACTTTCCTTGAGTTCAAAAGATAAAGCGCATGCTGAATGGCTCAGTTTTCTTTGTTCATCTCGAAACTTGAATTTTGGTGCTTTGGCTTTCAAGGAAAAAATTCATTCAATTCTTGTATTATTCTTGTATTTATTCTTGCATTCTTGTACGCATGCATAATTTTTACTATTTTTTTGTATCCTGTAAAGTGTAAATCTTTGATTCGAGAAGAATCCAGTTGTGCAGAAATCCCATCCTTTTTCTAACCTTCTTGCTCACATTTTTATTGGCAGGCTTCATAGTACACAAAGCTTTTGTGGGTAAATTTTGAGGGTAGATTTTCAAGTAACTTTACCTATTTTATATCTCATGAACATCAATATCAGGAAAAAGTCAAACCAGTGTTGCAATGAGCATACTTTCAGTTTTTTAATAAGCTATGGTTCTTTGAACTTGGCCAAATTATTCAGACATTTTGGATACACAATACTGTTTTCTTCTTCAAATGCGACTTTTTCCATGCTCTCTGGAATTTCGTATAATCAGGAAGTTGAAGTCTTTCGAAAAGGAAGAAAGCATTTTTATGTTATTGGTTATATCTGAACATTGTAATGAACTCTTCATCATGGTTATTTGCCAAATTCTTGCTCTTTTTACAATGGTACATCAACTTTCCTACAAAATCTTCATTGAAAGTGTGTTCTTTAGCCCTGAATCAGATGTCGAAGCAAAGCTGTAATCTCTGCATCAATAATGCATTTCTCAATTTCCAGAAATAGGTGAAAATCATCAATTACATGTGTTTGGAAACACTATTTAGCTGTGGTTTTTCGGAGATTAACTTTTTATCAATGTCGAAAAAGTGACAGCCGTGTATCAATCCTTGATTCCGGACGGAAGAGCATGATCTTTCTCAAGATTTTGTTCAGAACCTACTCCAACATCGTAAATGGTGCAAGAATGTGGCAGATGATCATGTGAGAATGCAAGTTATGATGCCCGGAAACAACTTACTTCATCTCTTTAGTGACATAACAACACTTTTCCACTTATACTTGAACTGACTGATCGCAAGAAATTTCACAGGGCAAAACTGGGTGGAAAGGGATTGAGAGGTTGGAGTGGTAGATCCATAATTTCTCGGCTCCTTTAACGATGTTATGGTTTTTTTTTTCAGTCAAGAGACCATCCCTTAATCTACTATAGAAAAAAAATAGTGAATGGTCTTCAGGAATATTAAGAGTTTTAATAATACATCGTGCCTAAATACTGTTGTAAAGTGAACACTATCAGCATGGCATCCAATGTTGAATCATCCAAAAATTTTTCAATGGCTAATCAAAGTAATTTTTCTTGATTTTTTTTCTCTTCAGATTCACGTCAGAAACCCACCTCAGGAGCCATCTCAATAGACGAAGCGTTTTGATGAAATATGCATGTCCAGGCTGCTTTGATAAACTTATTGCAGTCTACAATCGTTGCCAGCTCAAGGAACATTGCCAGAAACACAACTTGAAAGTCAACCTACAGCACCTCACCATTGAGCCACTTCCTCTTGCGTTATTTGACCTGAATCTCTTTGATTCATCACCTTCTGTAAGTAATAATGTAGCTAAAATGGATGCCCTTTTACAACCTAAAAAACGGAAAAGGAAATCACGAGCAAAGAAAAAACCGGAAAATACGGACACAGCAGAATCGAATCCTTCATGTTCGAAAGAAGCGCCTGCTGAGGCTACTTCCTCATCGGCCCCCACTCTCAATAAGAATTCTCAAAAATCAGCACGACCCACGGACACTTTAACATTTTGCTACGAATGTGAATCAATGTTTCCGTCCTTGTCGGCTCATCTGCAGGGATCTGGAAAGCCAAACGCTGAATTTGCCTGTGAATGTAAGAAAGTTTGTTCTTCAGCCTGCAGCTTGAAAGCACACAAGCGTCTGCATCACAATTCAGCCCCACATATTTGTCCCGAGTGTGGTGCCAAGTTTTTGTTCGCATCCGCATTAGAGGAACACTTCAAGAAGTCCTGCTATCATCCTTTCAAAAAGAACTCCTTTGAGTGCCTCAAGTGCCAACAGAACTTTTCTGTCTTGTCAAAACTGGAGTCTCACGTTTTAAAGAATCATACAGAGCAAGTGAACATCTGTGGAGTCTGCGAGGAATCCGACGTCAGTCTATCAGTAATTTCGAAACATATGAGTATCGATCATGGTGAGACGGTAAACCAAAACTCGAATCGTATTTTACGCTTCATGAGGTGCGACTTTTGCCCGGACGCAAGATTCCCACGTCACCAATGTCACCAGCACATTCAGATGCACACAACGCAGCAGTCTTCATTCACCCCCAACTATTATTACCAGTGTGATTATTGCACAAACTATAAAACCGTTGCTAAAATTGACTTTGGTCAACATTTGGATTATTGTCTTTTCTCAACGAGCCTCAGGATGATGGAAAATAATACTGAACTCAGTGATTCGGAAGATACCACCTCGTCCAGTTCAAAAAGTGTTGAAAATCTGAGGCCGAGTAACGATGAAATCACGAAGACTGCAAATGGCTCTGATGACATAAATGAGATATCATCTCAATCAAACAGTTCTGAAACTATGATGTCTGTTGACAAAGTTGACAAAAGTGGAACACCTACCAGCGAATATACTGACGTTTCTCTTTCGAAGAGCTCGGAAGCTAAGTCTGTTCGTAGTGATAAAGCAAGTGTGAAAAACAAGCCTACCTTGCGCGAACCAAAAATTCCAGAAACAATTTCTCCAAAAGAAGAAACCGGCCCAACTCCTAATTCTGACAGTGTAGTGCCCGGAATGAGCAAAGCGCAAGTTTTGAACTCTCGAAAAGAACCTACAAGTTTGGATAACTCTGCTGAAATTAACCTGAGTTTGGAGAAAACACTTAAAAAATGCATCAAACGAAGCGAAGCAGCCACTGATAACAGTTCAAACAAAAAGCGTGCTCGCTCTAACAACACATCACCCAAGTTGACAGTCATGCAGTGTAAGTACTGCGTTGCAAAATTCCGAGACCCTCAGAAGGTTTTTGAGCACTTGATGAGCAAGCACCGTAAAGAGATTTCCGAAAAAAATGCAAAACGACTAAAACTCTCTTCGCAATTAAAATCCAAATCCGAACACTCTGATGAGTCCTCACAGTCGCTGGAGTGTTCAAAGTGCAGTTTCGTTGGCGCATCTTACGCAGACCTGTGTAAGCACATGGAGACACATAAAACAGTTTATGAATGCAAGGAATGTGGGGAAGGCTTCGTAGCGCGGCCAACTTTAGAGAAGCATCTCATTATCAAACACAAGTTTGATGCTGTAAAGGCGAAAAAGGAGGTCGATTCCAACATTCAGAGTGTAGAAGTGGTGAAGGAAAATGGAGCCTATCATGCGAAACAAGGCTTTTATCAGTGCGCAACATGCTATAAAAACTTCACCACGGAACAGGCGTTCAATCAACATTTCAGGACGCATGGACTAGCATTTGTCACTGATTCAGCAAGCCCTACATCTCTAGTGAAATAATCCCCCCAAATAATAAAATAGATGGAAAGATTCCCACCTCTGTGCCCATAAAAGTGCTGTGCTAAGGAAGAACACAGTACAACCCTTCAGACATTGCCTTTTCTTTGAAAAATTACATATTTCCAGAAAATTCGTCATTAGTTTTCTTCCAATTTTATCAGAGGATTTTGTTCGTAGTTTTATCTGAAGTGTTTGACAATTTGCAAGAAAACTATTTGTAACTTTCCTCAAAAATCAATCTTTCCTGAGAAAAAATTTGGCAACTCTCGAATGTTCTTAAGGCGTTCTTCTCTGTAGCGGTAGAGTAGTTCTTATAAGTCATGGAAAATAAGACTGATGCCTGTAATGCATGCAGAGCACTTGTACAAAGTTCATTTTGTCCTGTAAAAAGGGATTTCCTATGTTGAATACTTTTCATGATAATTTCTCTCCACCTATTTCATCACACACTTTTATTTAAGTACTTGGTTTTTAATTGATGTTTGAAATTGTGCTAGCACATTGTAAGTATTAGGCCCTAGAAGGTCAAGAAGTAAAAGAAATCTGAAATTAAGACTGCGGGATCTAGTTGTTGAGTTCTGACTTTGCTTGTTTTCATATTTTGTCCTTCAAGCTCTCTTACAAAAAGCCTCTATTAAAACAATTTTCTTTTTCTTTTCATAAAAACATCCACCCCCTAGCGTTAATAGCTATGCATCTTGTCCACATGATTCATGTGAAACCATTAGTTTCCTCTCAAATTTATTTTTTTAAAATGACGAGAAGATATCCACAAATCCCCCAAGTTGGGCTGTAATACCAGTTTTTCGATGTGATATTTTTGCAAAGTAGCCGGTTCTGTTCTTTTTTTGTGTTTTTTGAAAATAATGCATGAATTTTATTGTAAATTTTCTGTACACAACTGTGATCCGAGACTGTCTCAGCCACCTCTCAGGCTCGTGAAATGAATTTGAAAGTTCTGACTCTGAGAAATTATCAAAATACTTATCCAAGCAGAGATTGCATGGAGATCTCATGAACATTGATCAGAAATATTTTACTGTAAGAGGTTTAAATTTTTCACACCTTAATCTTGTCAATATAAGTAAGCATTTTCCATGACCTGACATTTGTGTTAAACTTGAATAGGTAAAAAACCAATCTCACTTCAGATCAAGTGACTTTTAATGGGAGCTTATCAAGCCGATGGAAAATTACTTGTATACAAGTATTGGTTTTTTTAAAACTTATTTGATCGTCCATGGAAACATATTCATCAGAGCTATTTTGGTTGAGTGGAGTAAAGAGATCAAATTTTGTGTCCTGAATAGTAAGTTGAGAACGGTTTTGTACATTTTGTACCAACAGTTACATTTTTTCCAGTAGTCTCGCAGTCCGAACATGGCAAAGTAGAATTTTAAATGACATTTTCTCAAAACAACGTTTGTTGAACTGAGAACTTCAAACTGCAACATTTTTAGTTTAATTTGAAATTTTTGAAAGCTTCTGGCGTAGTCTTTTTTATTATTATTGTTGATATTGGAGGAAGTTTTGTTTAAGGCACACCTAAGAAATATATTTAAAGTAAGCGCATGTTTTTGCGATTAGTATTTCATATCCTAAAAATGTTGTATTTTTAAGAGTTGCTCTTAAATGTATATTTTTCTAATAAGAGAATCCGTTACTTAAACTTCTTAAATTTTCATTTTCCAAGTGATCATTGAGCCAAAAGGATTAGATTAAAGAAATTTTGAAAGAAGGACTAAGCACACTTTCAATTTTGAGTGCCGGCATATTATGAAGTTATTGGCTGTTTCATCTCGGTTTTGCTTCAGTGGGAGGTTGTTGCTGCACTCATAGGACGCTTGTTTCGTTGATTGGTTCCTTATCACCTGGTTTTAAATGTTCCCTTATGCAGCAGTACAGTGAATCAATTTGAGGTTTTTTGGTACCGAGGTCTCATGGAGTTCTCATGGATTAGGTCCCATGCCTTTCCCATTGATGGTCTTACATTGATGGTGGAAGTTGCGAAAGGCTTATCTCGATTTGCAACATTACAGTTTTCTTTCAACTTTTTACTTTCTTTAAAAAAAAACTAAAAAAGCAACAAGCGTCTACTGTTAGTAAAGACTGAAAAATATCAGGAAATTAGTTTTTATCAGCAAATTATCTTTCATGGATCAGGAAATTGCAAGTGTGTTGAGCATTTTTCCACATGCAGTTTAGTAAAGGCACAAGTGAAACTTATGATTCAAATCATTAAATACGTTGGTTTGTTAAAGCTAACGAGTGTCGATTCATTCACAAAATAATCAGGAAATTTCATTTACAATAAAAAAAAGTCAGAAAAATCCGAAATGAAATTTTAGTAGATAGGCACCCTGAATATTCCTCGGAATTTTCACTGCATTTCCTTCATTCTGATAGGAATATTCTGCATAACATTCCAAAAAATTGTGTTGATTGGTTTTTCTTCAAAAAATAAAACAACAGCAGAGATTTAAAAACATTGCAATTAGGATACGTGTTTTGCAGATTTCACCATCGGTTGTATCATGGAATACAAGAGAAAAATATGTACCCAGGCCAAGGTACAAAAGTTGTTTTAAGTACTTTCAACAATATTGTTTCATTTTTGTAAGTTATTTCCCTGAATCTCCGGAAAACTGCTGATGCTAGCGTGAAGTTAAAAAGCTGCAACAACCATTTGATTTGTAGTGTTAGTTTTAACCCTATAATGTTCGTTCCTAATGAGTTGGTTACCGGCAGTTTTTTTCCGAGATCAGGAATATTATTTTTATGTTCATGTATACCTTGTTTTACCCTTCATAAATTATTCTAAGTTTTAATTGTTGTAAAAAGATCACTGTTAATGTGAGCTTGCTCAGTTGTCTTGCAATCTGTTGAAAGACTTGTACAGAATTACTTTTTGTTATATTTTCCCAATTATGTTAATAAACTTTCATGAAGTCATATGAAATCAGGAATTGTTTCTCTCTATCTAACTTTGAATTTTGTCCATACCTAAGTCCACGAGTATGAAGAGACAGTGTAGGGAGAAAATACTAACAGTCTAGATCATTGTACTTTTCCAAGCACTACCCATGTAGCAGAATTTCCAGATTGATTGTGATAAATAAGCAATTTATATACAATTTATATTCTATTATTGCCATGAAACTTCTACTAAAATTTCAATCTACTTATGAAATACAAACTTGTTAGAAATAGTCATGTTTGCTTTTTGAGTACAAAATAGCTATTTAATTGCAATTTATCGCCATCAGATGGCTATATTTGACAACTATTTTTCACTGTCTCATCACCCAATTTTTAATAATTACTTATAAATTAATCGCTATTTATCACTATCGAATTCCTATTTTGGAAAATTCTGCCACATGGGTAGGTACACAATTGGACTACATTTTGCAATTTGGAACTATACATTCTAGCCCGGTTTAAAACAACGTATGTGCCATTAGTTTCCTTATGCACATAAGTGTTTTCCCAGAAGAGCCAGAATTTATGGTTCCAAATTGCAAAATGCAGTCCAATTAGCATTCTAAAGACAATCATGAACCTCAGATAGTACCCACATTCATCAGTACAAGCTCTCAAGTAGAACAGTGCAAAGAAAATATTGAGATAAAGTTTTTTACCATGAAACTGCAATTTTTTCACATCAATTTGGTCAATAAATGCCGATTTTAGACTATCAAGAAAATTTGTTCTATAAGTGAGGAAGTGCGTGCAATTTGCAAGGCAAAAAAAAAAAAAAAAAATTGCAAAAAAATCGATGAGGGGAGCCCCTTCAATTAGTGAATAGGCAATTAAACATACACAATACACCGATTCGAAAGACGGATATGATTTTACCAGGCATTTCATGTTCCCTGCTATGAGGTACTTTGGAGTGCAATAGGTAAGGCTTTTAAGTGCAGTTTTCGCTATTTCAAGAAATACATTTTTAAAGTTTCAAAATTTCATGGAGCCGTACGGCAGTAAGGAAGTTTAAACTCACTTTTTCATGCTTTAAAGTTGGATTTTAGTTGTGAATCTTTCACAGAATATTCATGAATATCTCAATTTTTTCAAAAACTGCACTTGCTTATGCACCTTGTCCATCTTGTCCTCCAAGCCTTCATGTAAGTCTCGATTCTCTCAGTATTTTCCAAGTAGGTAGCATTGTCATCTACTTTCTAGGTGGCGCTCATCAAGAAAATGTCTACTTTCTGGATAGAACAATTTTCTTGAAAGAAAATAGGTATAAAGTGGATCTAGAAAATAGACACAAGAAAATAGAAAGAAAATACATTTTTTTCTTGCATTTTCTTAAAAGAAAACATTAAGAAATTGACTAGAAAATAATTCTACTTTCAGTAAATTTTCTATCTTTTTCCAAATGGGAAGTTGACAGAAAGTAGACCTATGAAATAAATCTACTTTCTTTGGTCAGACTTTTGACTCGCAATGTTTTTTCTTTCTATTTTCTAGATAACTCTCATTTTCTTGGTATTTTCTTGAAGTTTTCTCAATATTTTTTTTCTAGGAAAAAATTCTATTTTGCTACTTGGGTGAGATCGAAAGAATAATGAGTGCAATTTTCAGTTAGAAATGTCCAAGATTTTCTTTTTTGGTCGCACGAATGACAAAGATGACAAACAAACCTATACGCATTTTTTACGTTATTTCAACGAGTTCATGAAAAAAAATTCCCTTATAAATTTAAACTCCGATTAAAATAGGCGTAGAAAATACTACCTAATCTGTTCTTAGACAAGATGTCTCTAATTTCTCCGATGAGGCATGTGTTAAAAGACGTATTTAAATGCAGTTATCCATAAACCTGTCAAATGAAATCTGCGACAATTTGTCTATCATTCAGCTTGAATGAGTTTAATGAGCGAAAACACTAAAGTAAATGAGAAAATCAAGATACAAGGATAAACTATGGGCTTGTCCTATGAGTGGATCTGTTGCACCCACCGTGCGATGGGCAGCCGCCGTCACAGAGAGAACAGAACAAGTGACAACCTGTCACGCGCCAATCAGTGTTGTGATAGGTGCGAAGTGGTCGATTACGCATACGGCACGCGCAGGGCACGCGTGAGTTAATGAGTTTCCGGTGGCGTGGGGTGGTTACTCTATGGTCCAACTATGGTCAGTTTCCGGACGCCTGTTGCTTCTCTCGTTACGGAATCACGCCTCCGCGCCTGATTTAATTAGTTTGGAAGTTCCAAGACGACTAGAACTTTTCTCACGAGTAATTAACATTATCGTCGCGTATCATTGACTCATGTGCTTCGCGAAAACTCCACGGTGTGAGATGTGTGAACGATCGTGTGTGATTTTTCTCTCCATCCGGAACCCGGAAAACGGCCCAACGGGGGCGAGAATCCGCCATATTCTCGAAATCTGAACTCGTGATTATTTTCTCGTCGGCTTTCGTGCCCTGCCTTTGAGTGATCAGTGAACCCCATGTGATGAAGCCACCAAAATTCTATCGATTCGCGTTGTTCCATTGTTTTCATTGCCGATTCAATCAGTGCCTACTCTGTGCGCCTCATTGCTCCATGAACTTGGTGATTCGGAATTCGTGAACTCGCTCGGTACGAAAGTGGTGATCGTGTATTCGTGTTTCTCGCGGTGTCGGCTTCTTGTGTTCGTGTTCGTGTGTGTGCGCCGCTGCTTAAACTCACTGTGGATAATTTCAAACTTGATTGGATCGAGTGTTACCATTCTGTCTAAGAGGACGCCGGAAGCCTAATGATTTTATTGAAGCCGGCGGCGTGTACCCACTAGTGGTTTTGTTCCTGGACCCGGAGTCAGGTTTGAATTTGAAAGTTCCATTCTTTTACCTAGTTTCTGCCCAAATTTGGTGTCATTCATCGTCAAGTTGTTGTATGTACTTCTAATTTTAATCTCATTATGTCTTCTTCAGTCCTTTACTTCTGCCTCATTCTCTCTTTTTCCCTTCGATGGACGGCGCTGAAATCCAAAATGGCGGCGTCTCAAATTCTGAAATTTAGCTGTAATTAATTCTGAGACACTGGATTCATTTGAGTGTTGCATTCTCAGCCCTTCTTAAGTAATCTCATATTTTTGCACTTTTTCACGCCTTCGTGAAATTCCACAGGGAACCTCCCCAAAATTTCAATCCTATCATAATGTTAATGTCCCCAATGTAATGTCTGATGTTCAATCTTGCAACCCCGCGTTCAGACCTTCGGGGAGTGAGGAAAACTCACGTTCTGGCGCGGCGCTCAGCTCTCCCCAGTGCTCGCAGACCGGATGCTGTTGGTTTTGCCGACCTTTCTCGAAATTCTCTCAGACTCCGTCGATTTCAGCTTGTTTCTACCGAAGCCGCTCCGTAGATATTTTTCCTCTATGCATCACACTGAGCACTGTGCCTTTTCCCCCCACCTGAACGAATAATTTACCTTGGTTTGTACTTCATACATACAATTTTTTTCTTACGCTCTGATTACTCTGTAAATATTATTCATCTAATCGGCCACTATCGTGGCCCTCACCCTTGGTTAGAGACCACTTTGTGAATAGACTCGTGTATCCATCCTACTTATTTCCTTTATTTTTATTTCCTTTTGTCGAGTACTTTTGACTCCCAATTTAATTTCAGCTAGACGTAAGCATTATTTCTCATCAGTAGCAGCAGGAATCCCCAAGTTGCACGGATTCGGAGTATAATAACGTTCACCCGATTTTTCATCAAACGTTTGTAACCCTATGTAAACCCCCCCCCCCTCCCATTTGTTTTTCCATGGCTTTTCAATTTAGATCCTTTTACCTTTCTGTTACTTTTTTCCTGGTCTTTTTCAACGCACCTACATCCAAATTGCCTCCTATTCATTACTTCATTCTCCTCTCTCCCTCTCTCTCCCATGCTCCTTAGGGGGCGTTTGTGAATGACGTCACGGTTCTTACAGGGGGCTAACTTCATTCATGGACGCCCCCCCCCACCCCCTGAATTTCTTCTCTGAAATTCCTGCTATTCTACCTCTCCTCCTCTCTCTTGCGCATGTACTAATAATTTTCTTATCCTCTATAGTGTAATTATTTTTTAAGGTGATTCGTCAAGCTCTCGAGACGTGGTCTAGCTGGCATGCGATTTATCGCATGTTAACTCACCCCCGTTACTGAAGCTCGACTATTGACCTTAAAAAGATTATTGTTTTCAATTTTCAGTGTAATTTTTGAAGGAGGGGTATTTACAAGGGCCGTTTTTGGGCCCTTCCTAGCTGAATTTCCTCAACACTGCTATGTTTTACTCACTGAAGGTCCATATCCTGCGGAATGCATCATGATTTGGTCACACGTGATCTCCTTTCAGGACTAATTCTGGCTTAAACTCGGGTGTGAAGGTAAAGTTGGCGGGAAAAACGGGTTTGCGGTCGAGTGCTGAAAACTCCGTTTTTTCCGCTAAAACTAGCCCTCAAATCCGTGTTCAGGCCAGCATTCGACCCGAGAAGAGACCGGAAGACCTAATCATGATGCATTCTGCAAAATGTAGACCCTCAATTGGCAAAAAATCGTGAAGTTGAGGAAATTCAGCTAGGCTGGGCCCAAAAACGGCCCTACTCGATAACCCTCCTTCGTACGTTCAAATCTTGAGGATCGTTCAAATTGTAGGAGGGGGGAGGGGGGACATTTAGAGGTTGGAAATGGGACATCTAGGGGTTGGGAAATGGGACCGACGGTGCGGTCGCATGGTTCGTGTGACGGTCGGATAGACAGTTCGTTGATCAGTTTGTCGGTCGCTTTTTCCTCGGAAAATGCCTCCGACTGATCGATCGACGTACTGCCCATCTGACCGTCGTACGAACCGTGTGACCTCACCTCGACTTTCGAGGCTCTCATCACACCATCAGTTCACGATTCAGCTCCCATCTTGGCGGAGTCACCGGTGACTTCATTTTGATGGGAGTCCAATCGTGAACTGATGGCGTAATGAGGGCT